TGAATCTACACTACCTGAACATGCTTCCATATAGATATGATGAATAATGGCTTTGGCATTCTTGAGAAGAAGATTTTTAAAGAATTTTCCTATATATCTCTATGTAAAACCTTGGTCGGCCATTTTGGCCCCGCCCTACCCCCGGGGGTCATGATTTGAACAAACTTGAATCTACACTACCTGAGCATGTTTCCATATAAATATGATGAATAATGGCTTTGTCATAATTGAGAAGAAGATTTTTAAAGAATTTTCCTATATATTTCTATGTAAAACTTTGGTCGGCCATTTTGGCCCCGCCCTACCCCCGGGGGTCATGATTTGAACAAACTTGAATCTACACTACCTGAGCATGTTTCCATATAAATATGATGAATTATGGCTTTGTCATTCTTGAGAAGAAGATTTTTAAAGAATTTTCCTACATATTTCTATGCAAAACTTTGGTCGGCCATTTTGGTCCCGCCCTTACCCGGGGGGTCATGATTTGAACAAACTTGAATCTACACTACCTGAGCATGCTCCCATATAAATATGATGAATTATGGCTTTGTCATTCTTGAGAAGAAGATTTTTAAAGAATTTTCCTATATATTTCTATGTAAAACTTTGGTCGGCCATTTTGGCCCCGCCCTACCCCCGGGGGTCATGATTTGAACAAACTTGAATCTACACTACCTGAGGATGTTTCCCCATAAGTTTCATCTTTCCTGGCACAATGGTTCTTGAGAAGAAGATTTTTAAAATATACCACTAAATTTTCATTAATTCCCAATTTTCTCCCCTTGAATAAGGGCGTGGTCCTTCATTTTAACAAACTTAAATCCCCTTCACCCAAGGATACTTTGTGGCAAGTTTGGTTGAAATTGGCCCAGCGGTTCTTGAGAAGAAGTCGAAAATGTGAAAAGTTTACAGACAGACGGATATATAGGCGGACAGACGGACGCCGGACAAAATGTGATCAGAAAAGCTCACTTGAGCCTTCGGCTCAGGTGAGCTAAAAATATCACTAAATCCTAAGTATACAAATGAAATAGGAGTTTTCTTAGCGAAGTTTTTTTTGATCGAGACCCTGGGGAGTACAACTTCTAATGTACAGGTGTAATAGCAAAAGACGCTGTCACAGTAGACCGCCGACATGAGATTTTCTATTAGTTGAATGATGGTGAGAATATTGTCCGTAACCTACTAATAAATCTTCAGAAGATCGTATGAGGGTGCCAATTGCATTGGTTCTTCGGCTGTTTTTGGAGACTAAAGAATGTGTATCAATGAAATTCCTAAATTTAAGTCGGACTCATCGAACTTCATTTTCAGCAAAGATAAAACGTGACGCTGTTTTAGACACTTTGACGTTATAATCCATGCGCCGTAAGGTGATACAATACATGGCATAAAATCTCATTATTCGTTTATTTATACATATATTTATCTGAAATTTGCTGTGTATATTACTAAAATATGTACTAAATAATAGTGAAAATTTCAGAACGTAGTGATGTTTATTTTTCACACTAGACAACTTGTCCACGATTTTACGGGACAACCCTCGTACATAGCGACACAAGAGACATTGACCATTGTACAACTTTACCGCTAGATTTTCACGGCTTTTTCCTTTTATAACTTAGATCAAAGTCACTGTTAATTTCTTTTGTAATTAGTTATGAAAACATAGTGAGATATAATCACATTTTTAAAAATCATTGAATCTGAATTAGTGTATCAAATACTGCATGCTCAAATTAGCGTAATTATCACGTCGTGCTTGACCTTGACCGCTTATAATGAAAACAAATTACAAGAGGGCAATATATTTAATCAAATCTTACACACGTAGATATAGTTTGTACAAAAATTAAAATTTAGTGATTCCGACGCTGCCTTTTTATCCCCGTGAATCCAAAGATTTGAAACTCTTGATTAAATATTTCGTCAAAATTAACACTCGTCAATTTTCATAAATAAAAAATCGTCAATTTTTCAACTCGTCAATATAACCACGTTTACAGTATATCAATGTAAAACTTTGATATTTCGTATTGTCGTATTGTGGATTCACCCTACCATGGGGTTGAGGCAAGATCTAAACTTTTGAATTTAGAACCTAGACAACCTCAAGCATCGTCGGAAACCCTCGGGTGATCTCGTCTTTACTTATAATAAAAAGTAAAGACAAAATCACCCTTGGGCTTCCGACAATGAACCTCATGGAGCTTCCGTATAAGTTTCATCATTTTTGTACAATGCTTTGAGAAAATATTTAGTTCACCTGAGCTGAAAGCTCAAGACAGCTTTAACGATCACTTGTTGTTCGTCGTCCGTCTATAAATTTGTCACAATTTCAATTTCTTCTCAAGAACTACGGAGCAAACTTTAACCAAAGTTGGCACAATTAAAGCATTCTTAGGTAAAGGAAGGTTTAAATTGTGAAAAGAAGGGTCAAGTTCCCTTTCCAGGGGAGATAATCAACAAAAGACAAAAATAGGGTGTGGTCATTAAAAAATCTTCTCAAAAACCAATGGGCCAGATAAGTTGAAACTTATTTGGAAGCATCCTTGGGTAGTGTAAATTCTAAATTGTTCAAATTGTAACCCCCTTTGGTAGGGCGGGCCACAATAGCGAATCCAAGTTTTACATTGATAAGCCTAGGAAAAGATTTTTTAAAATCTAGAACCAATTAGCCAAAAAAGCTGACTCTTATATGGAAGAATCCTGCGGTAGTTTTGAATTGTTCAAATTATGACCCCGGGTGTAGGGCAGGACCACAATAGAGAATCCTATGGAACGCCAAATTAACATATATTCAAATATTTGTACCTATCTTCAAATAATTGCACCTATCTTCAAGTAATTGTACCTATCTTCAAATGAATTGAAGATAGGTACAATTGAATTAAAGATAGGTTCAATTGAATTAAAGATAGGTACAACTGAATTGAAGATAGGTATATATAATTATACCTATCTTTAAAGAATTATACCTAGGTACAAATGAATTATACCTATCTTTAATGGAATTATACCTATCTTCAATTGATTTCATTTGAAGATAGGTATAATTGATTTAATGATAGGTACAATTGATTCGAAGATAGGTTCAATTAAGACATATCAACAAAGGATTTGAAGATAGGTACAGTTCAATTATACCTAGGTTCAATTCGTTTTATGTTGTTGGTAAATAATGAACGCTCACGTGGAGACAATAGGGAAACGCACAGAACCTACAGAGCGACGACAACAAGGATGAAAGGAGAAATAAAAGTTTATTCAAAATGTGCAAAAAGCATCATATACTTATAAAAATACACATGTATATCATGTAGGTATATCTTGTAGGCCTATTGCAGCCAGATGAAGATTCCGATCAACTTTCGCGCCAGCTGTGACGTCTCGGAAATGACGTATGATAAAGGGAGTAGTTGTTATTGCCAATTTCTTAGTAATTGAAGATAGGTTCAATTCAACTTTTTTTGTGTACCTATCTTTGAATCAATTGTACCTATCTTCAATTCATTGCTTTTGTACCTATCTTCAAATCAATTGTACCTATCTTCAAATCAATTGTACCTATCTTCAAATGAATTAAAGATAGGTATAATTGAATTGTACATATCTCCAATTCATTTGAAGATAGGTACAATTGATTTAAAGATAGGTACAATTCATTTGAAGATAGGTACAATTCAATTGAAGATAGGTACAATTATTTGAAGATAGGTACAAATATTTGAATATATGTTAATTTGGCATTCCATAGAATCCATGTGTTACACTGAAATATATAGGAAAAATCTTTAAAAATCTACTCCTCAAGACACACTTGGCCAGAAAAGTGAAAACTCATATGAAAGCATCATGGGGTATTGAAGGTGTTTTTTTTAGAAACTAAAATTGTTCAAATCATGATCCCGGGGGCAGAGCAGGGTCACAATCCAAGTTTTATATTGAAATATACAGGAAAAATATATATTTTATAATCTTTTTTCTCAGGTCCTACTAGGCCTGAAAAGAAAGCTGAAACTTATGTGGAAGCATTCTGCGGTAATGTAGATTTTTGAATTTTATAAATCAAGACCCCAGGGTGTAGGGTGAGGTCACAAAAGGTATTAAAAGGGTGGTGTAGAACACCATGGCCAAAGTTACACCGTTGACTGTTGTGGCCAATGGGACTATTGTTTGACTATCCCCTCTGGTAGGGGTTTGACCCCACATATTAAAACGATGGAGACCCCACTCTTCTCAGGGATGCTTTGTGTCAATTCAGAGTAGAAATGAGAGAAAGCAAAACCATCTCATCATCATTGTCAGTCCATGCTCAGTGATATGTGCTGAATTAAACTTAACAACATGAACATACCTGGGAAATGTGAACAGTTTTTGTAAACAGGGCAGAAGCTCTGTTATTGTTATTGTTCATGTTTCATTGGGTGTGTTCAATTTGTTGAATGCTGCACACGTTACTGAGCATGGACTGACAATACTGGTGAGTTGGTTTTGCTTGAATTTTCTGAATTATACTAGTAGTTTTAATTTTTTTCATTAATGCACAACAAAATTTCTACTCATCTTTGGTATTTAGGATTAAATTTTAATAATTTCCAGATATAATTTAAATAAGTTTTTATCATATTTCTGTGTGAAATGCTATAGCAACATAAATAGTGGTATTATAGAAAAATAACTGAGAAAATATCAATTTCATATCTTGTCTAAGTCCCTTTTGAAAGGGGGAAAATAAGCTTGAATCATCAAATACATGTATACTTGTTTGCCTGTCTATCTGCAAATTGTACAGGAGAATGCTTTTTGGTTAACTGTTTTATATGCTCTGCCATGAATATGGCTGGGATATTTGGTGTTTTGCCATGCACATCTTTGCATATATCCTTCCATTACACTCAGTTTCAAGGAAACTAATGTGTTTTTCAGGAACTCACAGTACACATTATGAAAGATAAAAAAAACGTCAGATAGAAAAGAGATCAGATAGAAAAATCTTTAAGCATTTTTTATTCCAATTATCCCATTAGTTTTCAAAATTGTATTCAATAAATTAAGTACACAAGAAACAACATGGAATTTTACATTCAATGATTCCAGAACTCCTTCTTTCTCCATATCTTTAACAATCCCTCTTCTGTCAAACCCCAAACATTTACAACTGTCCCTTGATAAATCAGTCTCATTTTGCATGTAGGACAATTTGACAAGGAAATTATGAGTTTCATTCAGTCTTGTTTCAGACACATTTCTATGTAGTATTCTTGCAACAGTTAGGAAAGCTTTTTCTAGCATTTCAGCTATCTGCATATCCTTATTGTGAATTTTATTTCTGCTGATCTTCATCAAAAACTGTCTGCAGAGTAGTTCAAAACTTGCTCCTCCAGGTATGGTATAGGAAGCACAAGTTTCACTTTCTTCAGTGATCTCCAATGAGTTTGGTGGATTAAGGGATAAATACACAGATTTGATGGCTTTATGAACTACTGTATATAGCTGAGAACACAATCCATCAGTCGGTGCTGTCAAGAGAAGAGTTTTTGCAAATGGAGCAAGTTGCTCACCACTTGGAATCAATTGAACACAAGGTCTACCATTAATGATTACTCTCTTACAAGACGAAGCTAGAAATATTTCTTTTTCAGTAAATTTTGTGATAGGAAATTCTGAAATTATATTTTTCTTGCACATCCAACTAAGGAATTCAACATCCTCATCTTCCACATACTGAATCACAGAAATTTTCTTGGAACTGAGAACTTGCAGACAATACTTGGGTATTCCCATTGTGCTGATCACCAGAGTTATATCTTGTTCACTACACAGAGATGCAAACCTTTCTACTCGTTCCCTCTGATATTTCATGAAATTCCCCAAACTTTCATTTGTGGAAAGATAGATAGATTCTCCATCCTCAGTGTTGATTTTTCCTTCAATGGAGCACATCAAAACAACAAATTTCACACATTCCATGGAACACATTTCAAACTCAGTTACAAAATCTCTTTGAATAATGTATGAATCTAATGTTGTAGAATCAGAAATAGAAGAACCAATGATTTTAATGGCTAATTGACTGAAGTTTTGTGTCATTATTGATATCTGCTCCAGAAAGAGGCTAGGAGAAAGGTCAAAGTTCAATGATGACATCACAGCTTTTGTCAAACTTTCTACCACCCTTGCAGAATAATGTGGGGAAATAACACCTCTTAACACACCCTCAATGCTTTCACAAAATCCTTTTTTATCACTTCTTAAATTGCTTTTCCTTGAATGTTTTAAAACATGCTGCTGAAGATTAGGAAAAATGTGTTGATTAAAGTGATTTAACCCCCTTATCAACTCACCCCTTTCTCTCTCGGAATATCTCGAGTCTATCTGCTGTAACATATCTGTTAACATTAAGATGAAAACTTTACTTCCATCTCCTGTGTACTGAGTCATCTGATTTATAGAGTCCACAACTAACCTTCCCAGTGGATGGCCAATGAGCATTGCATTAAAAATTGTGGCACCATTGTTAGACATTAAGACTTGTCCAGTGGAGGTACACATCAATGTCTGTAGACCCTGTGGTCCAAAGCCCCGAGACACCAAGGATTCCAAGGCCTTACATATCTGGAGAGACTTTGAAAAGTCCAACAACTTAGGTTCCATTCTGAAAATAAAAGATGGGAAATCACAAAAGTTTATAGATTAAAAATAAGAAAAGAATAATTTCTACCAAAAACATACAGTTATGTGACATTAAAAATATTAGTACTATGAGTTCAGAAACACTGATACAGGGGGAAAAAGTTTCTTACAATGAAGCCAAAAAGAGTACAAACATTAATTTTAAGTACATACTGTAAACTACCTACAGCACTGTAGCATTATGATTTTATAGTTTAGTCTTTGACAACATGCTACAGATCTTGTAATTGCAAATAAAGTGCAATTTATGGCGCAAGATTTTCTGTGCACTGTTCGGGACATTTTTTGCAACTTTCTAGCCTTGGTCATTCAACTGCTTTTTCATTTCCTAATTCTTAGACATATTCCATAACCAACCTGTATATTTTGTCCACCTCCCAACCCTTTTTTTAGTCATCTCTAGTCTCTAGTCTCTACAGATCAATAAACTTGCTTGTTGTGAATTTGTGTTTGGTGGCAGAAAATTTACACAACAATGCTTAAAAGGACACTCTGTGAACTAGCTGACTTGGATTTGAACCCAGGGCCCCCTGAATCTACAGTGATGTGCTCTGACCACCACATTTTACTCCTCTCTCATTACATTTGGTGCTGTGAGACACCCTAGTGGAAGTGAGAGGTGAAAGACCTGCCAGGGAAGAGCCTGGGTTGGTATCTTTGGGGGCCATATAACTATAAGGAGATAAGGAGGGGGAATGTGATGGTCAAACAGGTTCGATCACCAGTGGCCAGATAGCTCAGTTGAAAGAGTACTTGATTGAAGATTACGGTGGTCAGGTTCAAATTCCCACTAGTCTGGTCTGTCACATTTTTCTCCTCTCCCATTCCACATATTTATTTCATCTGAACAATTTCAAAAAAACTAGCTACTTCAATAGCAATGTACGCAATTACTGAAATTTTATGCATCCAGCATGTAAGACAGATCTCAACATGTCTTCAGTTTACTCAGAACTCCTCTCATATATTACAGCAAAAACATGTACGTTCCTTCGACTGCAGCTCTCAGAGAATTTGATGAAACTTTCACAGAATTTTACTCCATATTGCCATTGTGCGCCACCTCCTATTTTTGCTTTTTGATCCAACACATATTTTGGGTTTCCCACAGCAAAACATGGACATATGTTACTCCGAGAGTATTGATAAAAAATGAGCAAATACCTGTATAAAGTACATGTACAATATTACTTCTTTTTTCTTGCTTAGATTGTGTCAAAACACTGTGGGGGATCACTTGATTATACAGCATGCACTGTTCAGAAATATATACAAATAAATATAGACAATTAATTTACCCTATAACACAATGAGAAGAGTCTGCATGACTGCCATGAGCATGTGTCTCTCAGTCTCAGATCAACAAAGAATAAAGGTTTTAGGAGACAATTGTTTACTTCATAATGTGCTTATTTACTATACTAAATTTACTACCATAGTTTAAGTTATCATTCAGTCGTTCAGATGAACAAATCAGTGAACAATTACCATACTACCTATTAAACCGTACACGCAGTTGTTGCTACCAACGCTGCATTTGGCATGTTTGGCATGTTCCTGTCCTGATAAAACATCGGGTTCGATGTGCACAATATTTCAGTGGAAATCTTTTGCAAAATTTCCGGAATTTGGCGGTAGATGCAAATTCGTAAATAATCAGAATATAGAAGAAATGTACACCAAAGATGAAAGAGAAATAGAAAGTACGTATAGATCATTATTTTATGTATATTCAGCTATCTTCACACCAGTATTTATGTAACTATAGATATAGGTCTTACTCTATCATAAGATGTTCTTCCACGGACATGCTTCAAAAATGATTTAAGTCCAAAGTGAAAGAGTTGGATAATCAGTTTGGTTCTGATAACAAAATGGATGTTTTCTGTGCGGAAAGATATTATATCGATAAAATGGAGAAGGAGGAAGCTCTGGTCAAAATAAAAACGTACATTAAAATGAAATGGTTTTATGGTCATGATCTGATGATGGTAGAGTAAATGTAAAAAAATATATTGTTGATGATTAATAATGATACACATGAGCTATGGATGGGCTTTGAAAAAAAAAACAACATCCTAAACCAATGAATCAAATTTTGACTACCGGTCGGGTCATCTAAGTTTAATGATTTCAGTCTTTTTAGGTATGTCATTTTTACATTGTCTATGTTAGTACGTGGCACAGTAGTAGGGATATGCGATTTTATCGGTATACCGGTATATCATATATACCTAGTAGTGTATCAGCCCTGATACAGGCGTTTTGGACTAGGCGAGACAGCGCCTTGGAAGTAGGGCTGTCTCGCCCTCAGGGCCGAGATATCTCTGTCTCGGCCTGTCGTCAAGGGGCAAGTTTTCATTTAATGTGCCATTTTTTATTTAATATATATTGTAAACAAAACAAACAGTTACTATAAATCTCAGGTTTACAAATTGTAACGATTCGTTGACGAAGTTGTAACCCCGGTTCGATTCAAAGTGAAAGTAGAATATTTTTAAGTTTGGGACCCTTTAAATCTTTGTTATCTAATGTGCTTCGAAATGAAATGTTTCAAAACACCAGGACTATTATTTTTTTTAATGACCAGACCAGGCAAATCTATCTCTATTTGATTATTCACCGTCAAGCAACTTCTCCAGGAACATCGAAATAAAGAAAGATAACTAATATTTTGTTATGACAAAATTATATAAACTTGATGATAAAAAATAGCAAAATATTTGTTCTTTTCTTTGGTTTTAGATATGTGATATAAACAACATCACACCACTGTTTTGATCTCGTCCCTGTTATCAGCCCTCGGGTGGTCTCGGCCCGCGCCCTCCGGGCTTGGGCCGATACCAACCGCTCGGGCTGATACCAGGGCCGAGATCAAAACAGCAGTGTGATATTCTATATATATCGCGATTTTTTGTTGTGTGATACGTATCGTGATACAGAGACCTAAATACTGGTCTTTAGGTACATATTATAAAATCCAGAAATTATTCATTTATTTGTTAAATCTTTCAAATTACAATTACAGAAAGTATAAAAAATGTTGTAAAAAGTGAAAAGAACGGCAGTTTACCGTTCAAACAAAATTGATTTTATATATATAAAATTTTCAAGAAAGTAAAATTTTGTTTTTCTAGCATATTTTTTAGAAAAATATTGACTTTTCGTATAAAATCATTGTAAAAACTGCTTTTAAAAATATCATGATATTATCGTGATATTGTGGGAAAAAATCGTGATATATTGCGATACAAAATTTTTGGCGATACCCATCCCTACGCAGTAGTAAGATAATCTGCTCTGGAGTTGCAAAGTAAGGAGTTGATCCTTACGTGGCAGGTGTAAATCCCACTGTGGGACATGGAGACTGGTCTAACTCTCTAACATGAAGTTGTATAAATGGAGATACATGTGGCACTAGGTGCTAGCATATGAAAGCACCCCCCCCCCACTGCTTAATGGCCCTTAGTGCCAAGTATTGGTCTAAATTTGCAGCCCTCCACTGGCAAGTGGTGATTTCTTTATATGAGTGAAAATTTCTCAAGAGGGATGTTAAACAACAAACAATGTAAGCATCATAGCAGGGGTATAAGAGTTGGAGGAATATCAGATTGTATTATTTAACCAGTTCAAGGAAAACTGTGGTAAGTTTTTGGAACATTAACAGCAAATATGAAGTATGTTGTTTCTAAAGAAGACCAAATGGAATCAAAGACAGTATCTTCTGACATCACGATGTATTTAAAAGAGGCATGAAACAGCTGTCCAATGTTGGATAAAACCAATGGTTTCTTACTGGCTATCATTGAATAATCTCAATGCAATCAAAACTGGACTCTGCTGTTCATAAATAAAAGCAGCATACATATCAGCTCAGATCTCTTTTATTTGCCGTTTTGAGCACTTGTGGCTATTACTGCTCACTTAAAATTATAAAAATACAGACTGTTAAGTCTGGTTTCATAGTACCCAATGATAAAGTATCTCATCAGAAATTCTGCTGGATAATGCCTTGTAAATCCTCCATTATCTCCTGACTGGAAAATATTACCCTCTGTGTTTTATATTTGAATTATTGTAGAACTAAAGAGAGACAAAGTTAAAGCAGATAAAAAGGGAAATCTGAAAGAGGTTGCCTCTCTTGCAAATTATCTAGGAGAATTACTTGCCAAAAATGGTAAGTATTGATTTCACTCCTATGTAATGGAGAAAAATTTTTATAAACCAACTTGTTTTAGTCAGCAATGTTAGCCTGAGATATATAGGGAATTTTTTAATGTTAATATTTATGATGATGCAAGGAAAAAAAGCCTTGAATTTGATGTTAAAGCTCTTCCTATCATTGTTGACAAGTATAAATTTCCACTTTCTATAGGCTTGTTTGAAGAAGCAAAGTCAGAACATGAACAAGAGCTTGCGATCAGTGAAGCCTTAAATGACAGCATTGGTGCTGCAGTCGCCTGTAGAAAGATCGGAGAAAATTACTGTGACCTACAAAACTATGAAAAAGCTCTACATTTTCAGCAGCGGCATCTAAATCTCGCCAAGAAATGTGACAATTTGATTGAGGAACAGAGAGCATGGGCAACCATTGGTAAAAACTAAAGATATACATTGTGATATATATGTATAATATGAACATTTTTAAAAAAGTACAGAAAAAGATTATAAGATTATAACCAGTAATTTTCAAGAGATCTTAATCATTTGAATTTCAAGATTTGATTTAAAGTTTTTTGTTTATTGAAATTTACAAATGAAGATTGTAATAGTACAGTGAAAATATAATGAATTTGGAAATGAGGGGAAAAACTTAATATATAATATACATGTATCTAAAAAGTGTTAGTTGTATATTTTTAAAAAAATGTAAATTTAAAAATTAAACATTTTTAGGTCACCTGAGTAAACTCAGGTGACCTATTGCTCTCCGTTTTTGTCCGTCGTCGTCCGTCGTGCGTTGTGCGTCGTGCGTTAACATTTAAACATTTTTAGCTTCTTCTCTGAAACCACTGAACCAATTTCAACCAAATTTGGCATATAGCATCTATGAGTGAAGGGGAACAAAAATTGTGAATTTGGTGGTCATTAGCGCTCCCCTGGGGCCTGGGGGAGGGGGCAAAAACCACTAAAAATAGTGCAATCTTTAAAAATCTTCTTCTTTACTCCCGGACATCAAGCAGTCAAACTGTTGGTATGATTGTAATCAGCATTGAGTCCTCTACCAAAATTGTGAAATTCATGGCCCCAGGGTCAGGGGTTCTGGTGTTAGGGTGGGGCTCTATTGATTATATAGTGAAAATGCAGTAAGTCTTTAAAAATTTCTTCTCTGCTCCTGGGTATTAAATAAACAAATTAAGTTCATAGTTATGATGAGCAAGAGTGGCTCTACCAAATTTATGAAAGTTTTATGGCCCCAGGGTCAGGGGTTCTGGTGTTAGGGCGGGGCTCTATTGATTATATAGTGAAAATGCATTATTTCTTTGAAAATCTTCTTCTCTTTCCTGAGTATTAAATAAACTTTAAGCACATAGTTATGATGAAAGAGTGTATTTCATAAATTGTGAATTTTATGGCCCCAGGGTCAGGGGTTCTGGTGTTAGGGTGGGGCTCTATATTGATTATTTATTGAAAATGCATTAAATCTTTGAAAATCTTCTTCTCTGCTCCTACGTATTAAATACACTAATTCAGTAAATAATTATGATGAGCAAGAGTGCCTCTACCAAAATTCTGAAATTCATGGCCCCAGGGTCTGGGGTTCTGGTGTTAGGGCGGGGCTCTATTGATTATATAGAGAAAATGCATTAAATCTTTGAAAATCTTCTCTGCTCCTAGGTTTTAAATAAACTATACTAAATGTACATAGTTATAATGAGCAAGACATCTACCAAAATTGTGAATTTTATGGCCCCAGGGTCAGGGGTTCTGGTGTTAGGGCGGGGCTCTATTGATTATATAGTGAAAATGCATTAAATCTTTGAAAATATTCTCTGCTCATAGGTTTTAAATAAACTAACTAAGTACATAAATTATGTTGAGCAAGAGTGCCTCTTCCAAAATTGTGAATGCCTAAGCATCTAGCTTAAAACATGAAACAAATTCAATCATCTGAAAGTTGTTGCATGATGCTCAGGTGACCTATAAGGCCCGTGGGCCTCTTGTTACAGAATTATTATCATTGCACTGCATTTCACTTTTGTATTGTTTGTAATTTTAGGGAGAACATATTTTATCCAAAGTGAAAACATGAATAATAAAGAAGGTTGCAATGCAGTCTTACAAAAAGCACTGGATGCTTTCCAGAAAAGTTTACAAGTTTGTGAGGAGCTGAAGAAGAAAGGAGAAGTGAAGGAAGTGGAATATTTTGAGATGAAGGCTAGATTGTACCTGAATATAGGTAAAGCTTAATGTTCCAAAATTAATCTTTTTCAATATAGTGGAACACTAGAACTTGAATGTCAATATCTTGAATACTGCATATTATGTCAAAGTCTGGCAAAAGTCCCATTGTTCTCTTTATGTATGTTAATCTCAATGTCCCAAAATCTTGGGTATCTCAAGTTTTATTTTTCCTCATTTCTATTGTGTTTGAGATTTCAAGGTTTGGCTGTAATTTTGCCATACAGTACACCATTCAGTGTATTTTCAAGACAATCACAACACATGCATTGCACTCTGCTGCATGCATAAAAATTATGTTTGTCTGAAAAGCAGTCGCCATTTAATTTCATGAATTAAAAACTTGCTTGAAAAGCCCATTATATCAGCTTTACTTTTATTGTAGGTCTTGTACATGATGTCCTTGGAGACACAAAAGAGTGTGCAGATAATCTGAAGAGGGCAATCACATTGGCAGAGTAATAAAACATATACCGTAAATCTGGAAATTTTTACGTCGATTTTATTTTGCGAATTAGGATCAAAATGTTGTTGATTAATTTTTACGTTTAAAAATTTTGCGAATTACCTCTGTTTTGTTTACATTTTCTTATTGGTAATTTATTTTTAAGAAAAAATATTTTTGCGAATGCAATGAACTCGCAAATTTGCTAAAAATTTATCTACAGCAAAAATTTCCAGATTTACGGTAAATATATTTCTGCATCACTTTCACAATATAACAACAAAAAAGAGAAGAAACAACAAAAAATAATGCATCTTTAATTTTGTGAAAAATTTTAATTCTGACAGTTAATAATTGATTGTTTAATGTACTTAAATATTTATATATTATATGGAGTGATATTTGTTCTTTAGACGTCACCACTTCCACAGTGATCTGTACAGATGTCAGACATGCTTGGCTGCAATGTACCAGCGCAAAGGGAATCTCAGTCAGGCCTTGAGATTTCTAGAAGCTGCTCAAAAAATAGCTGTCAAACTGAAGGACAGGCAACTAGAATGTGAAACCCTGACAACCAAGGCATTGGTAGGTTTTATACTTGAATATGTACATGTAAATTGGAAAAGAGTTAGTATACTGTAAAACGAGAAAATTTGGCGCATACGGATTTTAGCGGAGACGCGAGTGGGAATGCATTGACGCAAATAAATTTTAGCACTTGCACTTGTCAGTAAAGTATATAAATGTGATATTTTGGTTTTTTTTTATCCACACCCGTATTTGACTTTTTTGATTATCAAGCACGGAAACACATTAGTACATTTTTTACCGCGGTACGTGTTGCTATCACATGGACGTGGTACAATGTTAAAATTTATTTTTTATTTCTATTTTCAGTTAAAAGAAATGGAGTGTTTACTCATTTAAATCATATTAAAACAATGCATGCATCGACAGAAAATTACTTAGATAAAACGGTAATCCTAATCAGGTATTGTCTGCAAGCTCAATCGCCATGCTTGATTGCATTGTTTACCTCGAGGCGATAGATGATTGACATGCCGAGAAGTGAAACTTTGAAGGTGCTAATGATAATAATCGGCTAACAACTACCGTGGTAACAATAGTTTAATTAAAATTATAATTTTGCAGAACTTTCTGTCTTCCGAACCTGTGCAGTGCTAGTGTGTGTATATATAAAATCCAATGACCCTTCGATATTACGTAATCGCGTTCTGGTTTACATGTACTTATGTAAAAGCTTTGAACACACACACAAAAATGATATTTAGAAATCCTTTAGCGCACATTTAATTTTAGCGCTCAGGGGCTCTTGCGCCAAAGGCGCTAAAATTAGTACTGCGCCAAATATTCTCGTTTTACAGTATTTACTTCCCTCCTGATAAATCTGCAACTTGGTAGAAAGATCTTTAAGAGTTCAGGTTTTTATTAAATGTCCCAGGACCTCTGGCAAATTCAAGGACACTGGAGGAAAAGTTAATAGTTAAGTTCACATATAATTCTTGTTGAGTCTACAATTTCTTTATGGAGAAACATTGGAAAGTCGTAGTCATAAAAAAAAATTGCTTATGGCAAGGGTTTGTCATGATGCAGTAATAATTTTTTGACTTAAAAAAAAAACAACAACTTGGAAATGTCAAGATGCTATTATGAATCACTGTATCCATGAAAATAGCATCTTTTTGTTGATTAAAGACATTTATTCTTGCAGATTTCCTGTCAGATTGGAGATTTCAGTGGTAGTAAGCATGCCTTGAAAAAAGCCTATAAACTCAGTCCAAGAGCAGAGGCAGAGAATCTGAGGAGACTTTTTTGTTCAGGTATATCTGGAGAATTGCAAGCATTATCACTATCAAAACTTTGAATGACCCCTTGTTCATTGTATATCATGATGAGATGGTTGTTTCCATATGTTTATTTGTAAATTTAAAAAAAAAAAGCAATGGTGAGGACTAATTTTATATGATATTAATCAGTGTCCAAATTAGAGGAAGCGACAGTGTCTTTAGAAGCAGCCCCCTCAACGCCTTGTGAAGATAGACTGAGGTTGTTTGAAAGTCTGGGAGACTGTTCAGCTGAGGCGGGAAACTTTAAACAGGCCATTGATTACTATCTGAAAATGGTAGGTCTATATATATATAGATCCTTTCTCTGTCATTAAACAGAGTTGGTCATCTATCTTTGCTAGTTAAAAAATGTTTAAAGTTCTGTACAAAAAAATTATTCTCTTGATGATATAAAGATAAGTGAAAAAGTTTTAAATTGATTGTTTTAGCTTCAGTGTGCCACAGATCTCAGTAAACCAACAAAAGACTTCATCCCAATTTATGTTTCTGTGGCACAAACATATGCTGATGATAAGCAGTACAAAAATGCCATCAAGTATTACATGAAAGAGATGGAGGCAAGAGGGGATGATGATGTACAGGTACAGTAGAACTTTGTAATTGTAAAGACAAATGTCTTTCTTTGTAAGGTTCTTTATTTTAAATTTATCAAACCATTAAATTTGCAATGACCTACGAACAAATATAATGCTCACATACCCAATAGAACACAAAAATAAGAACTTGAGAATCAATCAGAGTGTAGATACAAAATTAATGAAACAAGACTCAGTGCATGGAAAAAAAATCTGATTGTAATAGGGATACAGGAATGCCATTGTTCCATTTTTATAGGTATTCATATTCACAGCTTGAAATGTCTTAAATGCGAATTTGAAGTTGATCAATTCAAAAAGCTGGAAGAAAAATGTTGTGCCTTCCACTCAAGTTTGGAGTAAATAAATTGTAAAGAACTGACTGTATCTTACTGCTGTCACAATCTTTGATCATATATTTTAGGTTTGTAAGACCCTCCTAAATATTGCCGAGATCCAATTTTCTGATGGGGAAGGATATGATGATATCAGCAAGACATACCTATCTGCATACAAACATGCCAAGAAAGCAAAACACCATTTGTTAGAGGTATACTTATATTGTCTCAAATTTTACAACAAGTCCTCTGTTTACAAAACTTGTTATTCACTAAAATTACATGGTCATGTTTACACTGTATACATGTCAAGGATGAGTTCAATTTGAAAAAAAAATGTTATGCAAAATCTTTGGAAGATGCAAAGTCCTTTTTAAGTCCACAATTTTAATTTTTATTGACATTCATTTTGCTGGTCTGTTAGAAGTCAGTCTGCATACAGTTGCAATTAAATTTTAATTCTGAAATAAAGAAAGTTTATTTGTGAAAAGTTTAAAGACATTTCAATCCTGTTTACTAGGCATGAAAAAATAAGCCTTATTCTTTTTAGTTTCTGGTCCTGAAAGCACTCACTGATGTCCAGAAGAACTTCAATCAGAAATCACACCTTCAACAGACCACGGGAAAACTGAACAAAATCAAGGAGAAGTATGACATAAGTAGTTCAGATGAGCTGAGTGATGATGAGAGAGACAGTCAGAGGACGACAGCAGAGGAGGAGGAACTCAGTATATCAGAACTGTCAGAATCGGGTTAGTACGGGGTTCTGGGGCTGAGTTATCATTCTCTTTTATGATGAGATGCTTGAAATAAAGGAAAATACTCAAAATGTTACAGTTGAATTTTGTCTGGACTTGCTACATTTTTATGAATATGTATCATGTCAAATAATTTTCAAGGGAGAATTGAAATTGTTTGAAATAACTTGATTATGTACATGTACTTGTATATTTCAGCATGAGAAAAATATTTATAATAAAATAAATTTTAAAAATGTTGCTGTATAAAATATTACAGTTTGATATACATGTGGTAATGTCTTTACAATGGCCATTAGAAAAGTTAGTAAATTCTGTTTACAATGCATTTTACAGAGGACAGTGATGAAGAACTACCAGTAAACACAAACACTGTTACTACAGGCAGAGCAAGGCGAAACAAAGCTGCCACAAAGGTTAGTAACTAATATAACCTGCATCATTATATTTTTTGTTTATTGTATAAACTTGATACTCTGATTCCCCCAAGGAAGTTGATAACCCCTGACTTTTGAGGTCACAAGGTCATACGTCAAGCAAACAACAGAGACATGAGGAGGTATTGTTAGCAGAGTATTTTTAGAACAGTTTCATTTAACAGCATTTACTTTTGGTACACTAGTACCATCAAAGAAACACATTAGCCCTAATAATACATGTATTGAAATCTAGTAGAAATGAAGTTTGTGCTGTCTATGTTTTAACAGATTCCAAATCTGATAAGATAATAATCCCTATCAAAAAGTGAATTGATTAGTAAAAGTGAGATTATTTTCAGAAGACTATTTTACAAAGCATTTGTAACTTTATGCATTTGAATGCATTACAGAGAAATGAGAAAGGTGAAACACCTCTACATAGAGCCTGTATAGAAGGGAATCTAAAGAAAGTGGAAAGACTTATAGAACAGGTAATATAGGAACTCTTCTTTGTATTAGTATGTAAAAGCAAAGTTATTCATAACTCGGTACTCTGAAAACACCACACTTTGAGCTTATTTAATTTCGAACAATATAAAACATTTATTTTTAAAAATTAAATCAATTTCAAGTAAAGTACATTGAAGCTGTGCTTTTGCTGGTATGAAATTGTTTTTTCCCATACACTTAGGGTCACCAAGTGAACCCCCGAGACTACTGTGGTTGGATTCCCCTCCACGAGGCGGCCAACCATGACCACTACGAGATAGTGCAGTATTTACTGGAGCATGGAGCAGCAGTAAACGACCGGGGATTTTGCATTTTTGGGGGCGTACACTTTTTGTTAATTAATGTGTGCTAATTGTGGCAACATGGAAATTCTGGAGTTGCTGATCTCCAAAGGAGCAAATGTGCTGGCTAAGGATGATGAAGTAATAATGGGATATATAAGTCGATTGAAAACAAAGTCTCACTGGTGCAAGAAAGATTTAAATGAGACTAGTAAATCAATTTTAAAGCCCCTTAAGTTTTCAAATATTACTTTGATTACATGTAGTATTCTTTACAATTTACGCATTGATGAAAAGTCAGTAAATTCTGTTTGGAATGCAAACAAAACGACAGTTCAGATGTATTATACTAACAGAAAATTTTACAAACACTGTTACTACAGGCAGAAAATCGCAATTTGTAACGAAAATCGGCCACAAAGGTTAAAAAAAAAAAATTTAACCACACATTTATAATTTTTTTTATTGCAATTTCCATATCGCGGAATATGATAAAATTATTTATTTATTAACTTCAACAAAGCACAAGATAATGTTGCGTAAAAGTGTTAAGAGAATTTATTTTTTAAGCATACGGTGATTTTGAAATTGAATATCGCTATAAATTCTTTGTAAATAATTGTGATAGTTTCTTTTAACAAAGCATGAGCATTTTCAAGTTTTAACAGTTCATATTAAATTTTGGTTCTAAAAATTCATCAATTTTAAAACAAATTGAAACATCAAAGTATTTTAAAAATTCCAGAAGACTATTTTTCCTTTCTTTTACCAACATTTAATTTTGGTACACTAGTACATCAATAAACATAACACTTAAGTTTTAGCATACTTCATATTTAATTTGTTAACTCTCAATTATTTAAAAAAGATTCCAAATCTGATAAAGTAAAATTACATTTAACAAGTGTTTAATTGTTTAATGTGTCGTAAACAACACACGCTCACACATACGAAAGGTTACAAACCATTTGAACCTTATTATTTGAAGCAAAGAAAATAATCAAAGCAATTAAAAGGACAGTGAAAATAATCATTGCTATAACTGTAAAAACATTACTTTGGCGTCAGGTAATATAGGAATTGCCTTGTTGAGAGGTAATTATCAAGTGACCAGCGCACGTGTGTCAGTATTGGCTTCCTTTCAATGGGACATATAGTAGGGTGTTTGTGTTGCAGTGAATTTTCAATTATTTAAAAACTAAAATAAAATTTTTATTTTGTTGTATTAAAAAAAAAATGACTTATTACTTTGTCAACAAATAAGGTGCATATGTACTATGCTTTTGCTGAAGCACGTGACAAAGGAATGTGTTAACGATTTAAAATAGCATCGGTAATGGCGGCCTACACGGAGACGATAAACATGGAGCTCAAATTAATTTTAACTTGCTTTTTCATGTCATTTTAGTATCAAAATATTATGAAAGTGTTATTTCTAACAAACATACCTCCCAACAATAACTTTCCAAAGTTTAAAATATGACGATAAACAAAAGAAGTTGCATAATCTGCTGGCTAACGGTATGTACGTATGATAATCGTTTATGAAAGAAAAAACCAAAATCCCATTGTGATGTAAGAAAGATTTTTCTCACAGAAATTTATTTTAAAAAAAGTTTTCAGTTTATATATTGTAACTACGGTATGTCCAGGTGTTAAGCTGTTGAATTTTACAAAATGGTAAACAAACTCTGCATGTTAAGCTGTGTTGGAGATCAAATTCAAAGATTGTGGACAGACTGAATTCAAGTTTAAGAATTTGCTTTTTACTATAATAACTGATAAGTTTTCAAAACAAAAACATCAAACTCTATATTATATAATACTTTTCTTATAATTTTTTAGGGAAACACAGCTCTCGACTGTTTGAGGGCTTGGAGACAGAGATGTGACAACATCACAGATGACCTCATCGCGAAATTTACATCACTAGAGCAAAAACTACAGAAGAGACTACCAAGTAATGACTTTACAATTATTAAAATAAAATATTAAATAAAAAATTCTGTTAATATCTAACTGTTAGTCAGACAAAAGTGCTTTTATTCAGTTCTTTCTAAATGAAAAATGTGCATATTTTTAATTGACTTTTCCATATACGGCTTAAACACACATAACATTAAATATTTGATTGTTCACTTGGTATTATACATGCAATTTCAGAGATCAAGTGTCTGTTGTCACAATGAATTCTCTGCAATATATTCCATAGATTCCATAGAAAGAGTACAATAATTTTTCCCTTTTATCTCTTAATTTAGATTTAGATGCCCCATCTATTCAAGAAGAGAGACAAAACATCCCCTTATCACAGACAGCTGGATCAATGCCTCTTCTAAGGCAACCTAAAAGGAAGAGTAATGGCTCTAGTATGAGGTAATGTTTTGTATTTAAAGCATATTCTTCTCTGCATTGGTTAGAAAACACAATATCTGTCATTATATTACAGGGACTTGGTGAATTATTAATCATAAGCAAACAAGATTGCTGGTTTGTAAACCTTTTGTGATAATAGGTTCTCAAACATTTTGAATATTTAATGACTTTAAATACTTTCTTTCACAGTTAATTCAGTTCATTCCCTACCATTTAACTGGATACTGTAAATATATTTTGCTAGTATGTGATTTTCATTAAAAATTAAGCAAATTTTCTTAAAACTTGGAGCCTAATATTGTTTATTATTTAAATGCAGAAGAACTTTGTCCTCTGGTTCTGAGAGTGATTATGAAATTCAAGAGGCAGAATCCCTAGACTCCACAGAAGATTCACAGGATGCTTATCCTAATCCTCTACTGCAGAAAGAAAAACCCCCAAAGCGTGCCACAGAATTCTACAAAAGTGCCATAAAAGGTGTAGGATTAAGTGCCACAAAAATGGTATCTGTTTCCCAGCCTTCAAACTCTAAACCGCAAAAAGAGATACAGCCATTTTTGGCAGAGGAGGAAATTCTGGATGATGATTGGCTGATTGACGATATGAAACCAACCAATAGAAAGAGGAGATTGGATGTTAATGATATCTTTCCTAAAAGTCAGGTGCCCTCTAGTCAGAGAGGACCCAAGAGGAAAAAACATTCAAATGAGCAAGCTCAATTAAGTGATTTTCTTGATAATGAGAATATTGAATCAGATGCATTGGTTGTGGCAGAAAATCCATCTCAAGATAATCATATTGCCATTAATGAAACTACAACTGGCAATGATCTTTTCTTGATAAGTGAAAATGAAAGCAGCAATGACAGTGTAGAAATTAGGCCAAGGTCAAGTCGCCTCTCTCGAAAACCAAAGCAAACAAAACTGACAAATTTTGGAGTAAGAAAGTCTAACAATTATATATCCGATGAGAATTTAATGGAAAATACTACTTCCATACAAGATTCCAGATTTCCAACAGATGTTTCTTCATCAGTTCGATCTGGAGTTCCAGTCCCAGGTTATGGACTCACCCTTCCTTCAAGTCAATTGGCACCTGGATTATTGTCACAATCCGTGGCTTTCCCAGTGGGAACACTTAGAGTTACAGTCAAGGATAAGAAACTGTTGGTTCCAGTATTCGAAAAGTAAGTTATCAAATGAATTGTCACTTATTTTCTGAACATTTTCAAGAAAACATTTGTGTGAGTAACCAGTGTTGGTGCTTCAGCTCAAGAGATTAGATAGATAGAATATCAGTTATGAATGGAGACATTTGTTAAAAGTCTCGCCGTGCATTGCAACATGCCATACATGTTAACTCTCCCGATTTAGGCGGGAGTCTACCGCTTTTTCACTCCATCTCCCGCCTACCGATTTATTTCAGAAATCTACCGCTTTTCTACAAATATCATCCATTTTTGAAGCCACTCTCATAAAATCTCGCTAGATTTCGCGTGATTTGACTCGGAATCACACAAACGCTTTTTTTGTACATAGATTTCAAGCACGGATTTGACAACGACAACAACATAAGACTACCAGTGATTACATTGGTTACGATAAATTAATCAACATCCCTGAATGAAAAAGAAGATACAGCTTTTAAGACATTTGACATCGTCTTTAAAAGCACAGAAGCTCACAACTTTATCTAAAGTCAATAGAAATCACTGCAAGCCATGTGGTACATAGCTGTACTTTCGTTTTCGAGCAAATCTGAGAAAGATACGACTTGTTTTAGATCTAGATTGTCATCATTTGTTTTGTTTAAAAACTGGACATTCAGATTATTGCTTCTATGCCTAAGTAAAGCAGCCAATCCAAGTAAAATGATGAGCATGAAAAATATTTGAATTTGTACAATTTATGTCAAAATTAAGGTGTTTCTGTCTCTTTGATATTTAAGATTAATTAGTGTAGGTACCTGATTTCATTTAAGGCTTATAATATACATGAAAGATATCGATAATCCAAGCGTTAAACAACACGCGCGCCATGCTACCGCTTTTGAGGTCTGAATCTCCCTCTTTTTCATCACAATAGGTTAACATGTATGAACATGCACTTAGACAATGTGATTCTCTTATTGCATTATGCCTCTTGAGCAGAGTGAAAATATTGTTTAACTATTGATATTTTTATGCCATAGCTCTTTGATTAATATTTTAAATATTAGGGATGTCAAATCGGTCAATTTTCAATACTCGGTTACTCGGACGTTTTTCCGATCGAGTACCCGGGTACTCATTAAAAGTGTAAATAAATATGAACAAGTAAATTGAAGACTGTAAAACATTGTAAACTCTTGTAGAAATAAAACCAGGATGCACTGATATGAGGCTTATCCGTAAATATATTTCTTTTGTAATAATGATGAGCACTTCGTGCCCGACGAAATTTAATATAACATTTTTAAAAATTCAATTTATTTATCAGATAAACAAAAGAAATAATATCATATGTTGTTAACAGTGTTTTTTGTTTAAAGAAAATAATCTGCTCCGAAACTGTATTATAACTCTTTGTCGCGATTGACGACCAGGTATCAGTCATCAGAGCTGCGTGCAGTTATCAACTTGAACTTGATCAAGTTCTCCTAACAGCGGATTTACGATTTTCATACACTTTTTCGATCCTAGATTTTATAATATTACGCGGCGGTATTTTGTTTGGTGCAACGATGTACATCAATTTTTTTAAAGCCTTTGTCTTCAACCAGTTGTATTGGCATGTAATCAAACACAACCATACCAACAATCGCACGTGTAATATCATCCGCTCTTTTCCCGAGAATTTACGGCTTCTCAGAGAGTTGACAAAATTATCTAATTTATTTAAACATAATGGATCTTAGATGATGTTCAGTGAAAACAAATAATAATTAAAGCCAAACAAAAAATAAGGGAAGAAGGCAGCCGGAGGTGAGAAAAGCCAGGTACCCCATGTGCTTGGTCATGATAATTACTGTATAAACACTGCCACAGGCAATAACGGTCATTTATAGAGTCGTAGTAAACCCTAATTACTGTATGTACATGTGCAATGAGCAATGAGCATTTTACGTTTTAAAACAGATTGTTTAGGCCAAAAAAAATTAATAAATTGTTTCTCAGGCCAAAAATTTTTTAATTTAATGCAGCAGGCAGGCTTTTTTTTTTTTTTTTTTTTTTAAGCAGGTTTTACACTTTTTTAAGCCATTTGTTCAATAAAATGATAATATCTACTAATTCTTAATTTTTGTTCTCTGAAATTAGTTATAATATGTATTCATTTTTAAATAATGTTATTCCAAAAATTTAAAAGTTATTTAATAAAATACAGTAAATTTAGAAGATGTATATTGTTTTTCCGAGGGGAATAACTCGATTTACTTTTTTACCGAAAAATAGAAAATTGACCGATTTTTGAACTGATGCGGCGGTGCCTGAGAAACTATTGATTAATTTTTTTTGGCCTTAATGCATTAATAAATAAGCTTAGAAATATTCAAAAATATACATCCGAGTAACCGAGTACCGATTTTAGTATTCGATACTCGGACGTTTGATCGAGTTATTAAATATCCATATCTATTATTTTTAGGGACGTTAACAGTACTGTATCATGGCTGGCAGAAGAGACAGCTTCCAGATACTACAAGCTCACTGGATTACAGTGTGTCCTCAGCATACAGCTAGGAGACGGAGCAGTCCTCAGTCCAGATGATCCAGTCACACTCCTGTTATCATCAAATGAGGAGGTAGTGTGTAAAGTGTTTTTAGAAAGTAAATACAGTGTTATTTGGAATCACTTCAAAATCAATAACAACATAATTGGAAGGCTGGATTATTATGAATTTTGAATTAGTATTCAATAGTGCTAACTATTAATCGGAACAAAACTTTGACCTTGTATACAAAATCTCATAAGTGATCCAGCTATTACACATCCATGAAAAAAAAATGTATCAGAGAAATAGTTTTGAATTTAAAAATTATGACTTTGTAAGCAGTACCTTGTTACATGGTACCTCATAAACCCAGAAGCCTGTAATGAGTACATATATTTCTGGAATTATATCATCAAATCAAATTGAGCCATCAAATTGTACTTGGCCATAAAATACTGACTCTTTTTGTGATATTGTTATTCACTCTTGTTTGTTTATATCTTTCTTAGATAAAGGGTGTAGTGGAGAGTTTGGACCTGGCACCGATGTCACAGCAGTATGAGCAAGCCTGTCAGGAGTTATCCTGCAGTAAGTTACTCTGATAGACAGTTGGTCTTTGTATTTTTAAAATAAAAAAATAATAGTCTTGTTTCCTGCTACCAGCCAGAAAAAAATAGGGTAGGTAGGTAGGAAAATTATTTTATTTTTTTATTTTATTTTATTTTTTCCAACAGTATTTTTTTGGATATGAACTACTACAAAACCAAATTGAACATGTCATAGCTAAGGTCAATATCATCTTTAAAATGAAAATTCCATGTCTTTGGATGTGCAACTCAAGAAGAATTTTATGAAAGTCCATATTTTAAACATGTATTTCATGTAATACAACTTGAGTATATATATATTTTTTTCACTTTTGAAACATGAAATTCTTAAAATTTTGAAGTTTTTCCCCAAAAGCTAAAAAAAAGCTTTAGGATCGAGTGCAAAAAAATAGGGTAGGTCGGGTAGCAGGAAACAAGACTATTTTTTATTTTGGCCTTATGACAAAACCCAATCCTTTTGTCTACTGTCTCAAAGTTTCATTTTTTTAACTTGTGTTTTCTCTATGTATCTTGCAAAAAGATTACTTTTAAAAATTTCATGCAGATTCATTGTTAGTATTTTTAGGTGAAGTGTTTCAAAAGTGGGGGGGTTTTCCCCTTAAATTTGCATTCACATACTGATTTCATTTCGATTTTTGTTTTCAGTAAGCTACAGAAACATCAAGACCCTCCTTATTCAGTCTGATTCCAATGGAGGCAAGCTGGACTTTCAGAACCTGGCTCTCCGTCCAATACAGCTTAAACCTGTCTTCAAAGCTATTCAGTTCCAGAGCAGCATAACAGAGATATGTCTAAAAGGTTCTTAATTTTCCCTGGGCTTTTGAAATTGATGTTCAAGTTCAGCCAAATAATACACAAATAGTTGATAAATAAAAGGTCTTGCTTATATTGCAAGCATGGCAATATTGAAAGTTTGACGATTTTCCTATTTTGCTAGAGGTAACTTTCACAAACAAGTTCATGCACATGTAGTGTCCAATATTTTATTTTAAAAATGATGAAGCAAAACTTGACAAGTGGTACTTTTGGCAAATATTCATTCCTGAAATATATCAGTGTTCTCACATTGACACCTTTCCTTGCTCACAGGACTTTAAGGTCAGTGTTATATTCAATGATCAGGTAGTAAAGGAATTTGTTTCTGTAAAATTATGTTACTGCAATACAATTATGCTTGCTTTGTTGTTTTGCAGCCAACAGACTGGGTGATAAAGGCCTTGAGGACTTTGTAGTTGTTCTGAAATCACTCAGTAATCTGTGTACTCTGGATCTCTCCTGTAATGGTATAACAAGTGTAGGACTGAAGACTTTAGCAGATTGTGTCTCCTCCATGAAAGATGAAACTAATGCACCAAAAGTAAGACTTTGATGTACATCATTATTCATAAGGCAGATGAGAAAGATGAAAAAAAAAGAAAAGGGGGGGGGGGTGAAAATGATGCAAAATTTTATGAATTAAATGTAAAGAAAAAGATAACTGCAGAAAATATAGTCAAATGTACAATATTTATCATTAATATTTGTTGCCTAGAATGTTTTCACTTGAATTCATTAACTTTGACAGAATTTGCTGCACCTTTCCCTCAGTAACAACCTACTGGGAGACAACTGCTGTGCCTTACTGAACACAGTTATCTCCTCTTTGTCATCACTGGAAACATTAGAGTTATCCTCCTGTGGATTCACAACAAAACTGTTTCAGCAAAACAGACTCAGTTTGGTAGACACAGTCAAAAGTAAGTTGAGGATAAATGTTTCGTAAATGCTAGTTAAATCATATCAAGAAAAAAAGAGTGTAAGGCAGTTGATACATATAAGTTGAAAGACACATTGTGAACTAGTGACCCGTGAAATGACCATCTAATTTTTGCATTATTAGTATGGTCATAGCAATGCTTAAAATGAGTGCCACTTGTTCATGAATCACAAATATTATCCCAGGAAAATGAATATACAAACTTAAAATGAATCACATTTAATAATAATTTCCACTCTCAGCCCATTCAGGGATCAATCTAGGTTTTTGGGGGAAACTACCTTTTCTAGAGAAATTGGGAAAATCAGCCAGGGTTCTGGGAACCACTCAAGCGTGTGCAGAACAAGCTCCGCTTGGGTACCAATTGAATTTCAGTACTGTAGACGTCCTTTTTTCCATGTCACCATAATTTCTGTTTAATCCTTACACTTACACCATATGCCTTACACTTACATTAAGTACGCTTGTACAAATTTCCGCGGAAAATTTGTTACCGAGTACATAGCGTAAATTAATACCACGCGGAAAAAAGTATGTCTACAGTATTTGTATGACCATTTGAAGTGCAAAAAGTAGCAAAGTAAAACCACGTTTCTCATATACCGAAAAATTTTACTTTAAATTTTCAGTTTTTATGAAGAAAAAAAAATATTTGAGGTTTTTATTATCATAAGGGGAATATTTTACTCATCGAAAGGGGAAAATTAGATCTTCATGGGAAATTTTCTCAAGGGGAAAAACACCTAATATCAGTAGTAAATATGCCCTAGATTAATCCCTGCGGCATTACATATATATTATTATAACAGTAACTTGATCCGAAGGGCCGTATCATGTCGAGATTACAGGCGTGAATCATCAGATCTAACGAGACGCAAAGCGTCGAGTTTAAATTTAACGAGACGTGATATATAACCCCTCATAACTAGCAAAATGTAGCAAAAGAAAACTTTAGAGATCAATTGTATAACATTTATTCACAAAACAAGAGCATAATAACAAGGGACTTTTTAACGCGCAAGAAAAATAATGTCATGTTTCTGCGTACTACGTCATCAGTTTCAGAGAGTGGTGATATGGATTCAGAAAACCACAGTGTGGTGATCCGGAAAGTCGGATCACGATGTCACGTGATTGCGTAAAATCAACAGTAAAATTGAGTGATACACATTAGGTGTATAATAAATCTTTATATCACACTGAACGAATTGTAAAACATTGATTTCAGACTCCAGTATCCACACCTTAGATGTATCCTGCAATACATTGGGTTCATTAGGAGTAGAACTGGTTCTGTGTTGTTTAAATCCAAGTAATCTGACCACCTTAAACCTGACTGGAACTGTTACAGCCAGCGGGGTGTTACATTTGTTTCTCCACCATATTGAAATGTTCCTCTCTCAGGTAAATTATATAATGAACTTTCACTTCATGTTTTATATGTAAGAGTTAAATTAAATTTTTTTTTTTTGGAAAAATATTATGATTTATGAAAAATGCTAATTTTAAAGATGGAAGGGATTATATATCTGTAAATTCATTGTGGTCATGCCATTTTGAACATCTTTCTTTTTCAGGACAGCTGTTCTTTGGCTGATCTCACCTTGAGCTCTTGTCAGTTAAGTCTGGAGGAAAAAGATAAACTTGTGAGGTAGTTATTTCTAAATATTTCTTTGGTGTTGTATTTTAATAAGTAAAAAACTAAAATATTTTTTGGGGGTGGGGTGGGATGGGGGTAGGGATGGGGCATATTAAAAGACGTGGGCACCATATCCAGAAAAATAGAGTTACAGTGAATGCACTTATAATAAATTCACATTTACAACAAAGTAGACACTAGACAGGGAGAGGGGTTAGAAGAAGACATCTCTAGATTTTGCCACCACTTGATCAAGATCAACGTTGAATATGATTAATTAGGTCTACTGTGGTGTAATATACAAACACAGAGCTTTATTTTAGTGTTTTACATCATTCTGATTGATAAATGAGGATGTGTGGAATCTTTGAAATACATATTCTTCTGAATAAAATTTCTATGATAAAGAGCCCTAAAAATATGTCATTTAAATATGCAATATCTGTGTTTACTATATTACTGAAAATTACTGAAAACCTTTAGCGCAAAGCACTTTGCTCTTAAGTCTAAATCAACTAGTGCTAATTGTAACGGGGACCGTTACAGATGTTCCCCAAACGCTCCCCAACTCCCTTTTGGTGCCATATTCCCTGTAAGCTTCATTAAATAAGACAAACTCTTTGTTTTTGAGACTTTAACAACGTTTACCCAGAAGTGTACCAAGTTCATTCAAATTTTGGCATTGTGTGCGTGCGCACGTGAATGCATGTGCTTAATGGCTACATGATCTATATATTTAAATATACTAAATATGAAAGTAGTTAATCTAAAAATATTTTTAAAAAATGCGCTCATTCAAGTGTATTTTTGATTTTGTTTTCACGTGCACACACGTGCATACACGGGCATGTGACCATCCCTTCTTATAGAAGTCCATTACATCTATCGTTGTTCTAATCCCACCCCGTTTGGTTGAAAACCAAGGGAGTTATAGCTGTTTAAAGTTTCAACCAATCAGATTGCAGCGCACGTACACGCATGTGTATGCATGTGCATGGTGACCATACCTTCTTGTAGGAGTCTATTATATCTATCTATGTTCCAAACCCCATCCTGTTTGGTTGAAAACCAAGGGAGTTATAGCTATTTAAAGTTTAAGCCAATCAGAACTGCATGCACGTGTTTTGATGATAATTGCTATATATCACGTTGTAGGATATCATAATGCATGGCTATGTTTAAAATTTCAAAGGATTTCGTCAAAAAACAAGAAAGATATTGAGACTTTAGTGTCAGCCAATCAGAGCGAAGCGCACGTGCATGCGCGTGAGATCTTGCAATTTTGTCGTCATGTCTATACTACTAATATATCCTCACATTATGAGTTTCAAAGCATTTCATCAAAAAAAAAGAAAAGTTGCGGCTCTATCTATTATATTGGTCATTTCACGTGTTGCACGTGCGCGCTCTTGCAAGCACGTGCGCGCAAAATGACCTTGATTCCGCAAATCTACATAACATGTCTACTGACCCTAAAAAGGTTTTACCTACATCGGATGAACAGTTTACAAGATCATTCCCGGACAAAAAAGTACCCAGGAAGAAGAAGAAAAATATAATAATAATAATAATAATAACTAGGGCTAATTGTAACGGGAACCGTTACAGATGTTCCCCAAACGCTCCCCAACTCCCTTTTGTGCCATAGTCTCTGTAAGCTTCATTAAATAAGACAAACACGATGCATTTTAGACTTTAACAATATTTACCCAGAAGTATATCAAGTTTATTCAAAATTCAGCATTGAACGCATGCGCATTTGAATGCATGTGCGTAATGAATATATCAACTTGTCTACACTATTCGTATATTTTAATATACTAAATATTACAGCATTTAATCCAAAAGTATTTAAAAATATGTTTAATCCAGTGTATTTGTAATTTTACTCATTTCACGTGCACGCACGTGCATGCATGTGCATGATGATCATACCCTTTTGTAGGAGTCCTTAATGTCTATCTATGTTCAAAATCCCATCCTTTTTGGTTGAATAATAAGGGAATTATAGCCATTAAAAGTATCAGCCAATCAGATTGCAGCGAACGTGCATGCGCGTGATTTCATGAAAATTATTAAATATTATATTGTAGGACATCCTAAAGCATGCCTATGAATTAAATTTCAAAGCATTTCGTCAAAAAACAGTAAAGATATTGAGAATTTTGTTTCAGCCAATCAGAGCAAAGAGCACGTTGCACGTGCATGCATGTGCATGATGATCATACCCTTTTGTAGGAGTCCATGATGTCTATCTATGTTCTGAATCCCATAAAAAAACAAGGGAGTTATAGCCATTTAAAGTTTCAGCCAATCAGATTGCAGCGCACGTGCATGCGCGTGAGATCTTGCTATTTTGTTCATGTCATCTTGTCTATATTACTAATATATCCTTACATTATGAGTTTCAAAGCATTTCATCAAAAATTAAAAAAGTTACGCCTATATCAATTAAATCGGTCATTTCACTGTTGCACGTGCGCGCTCTTGCAAGCACGAGCGCGCAAAATGACCTTCGTTCGGCAAATCTACATAACATGTCTACTGACCCTAAAAACATTTTACCTTTGTCGGATGTGTAGTTTACAAGATCACTCGCGGACAAAATTTTCCCAGGAAGAAAAATAATAATAACTAGTGCTAATTGTTTACCCCAAACGCTCCCCAACTCCCTTTTGGTGCCATATTCCCTATAAGCTTCATTAAATTCTATGCATTTGAGACTTTATTTATAGAAGTGTACCAATTTCATTCGAGTTTAAGCATTGACCGCGTGCGCATGTGAATGCACGTGCGTAATGACCATATAATCTTGTCTTCACAATCTATAGATTTTCATATACTAAATATCAAAGTATTTAATCCAAAAGTATTAAAAAATACGCTAATTCAAGTGTATTTTTGCTCATTTCACGTGCACGCACGTGCTCACATGAGCATGGTGACCATACTTTCTTGTAGAAGTCTATTACATCTATCTATGTTCTAAATCCCACCCCGTTTAGTTGAAAACCAAGGGAGTTATAGCTGTTCAAAATTTCAGCCAATCAGATTGCAGCGCACGTACATGCACGTGTATGCATGTGCATGCATGTGCATGGTGACCATGTCTTCTTGTAGAAATCCATTATATCTATCTATATTCCAAATCCCATCCTGTTTGGTTGAAAACCAAGGGAGTTATAGCTATTTAAAGCATAAGCCAATCAGATTGCAGCGCACGTGCATGCACGCGTTTTCATGATAATTACTATATATCTTATTGTAGGATATCCTAATACATGCCTATATTTAAAATTTCAAAGGATTTCGTCAAAAAACAAGAAAGATATTGAGACTTTAGTTTCAGCCAATCAGAGCGAAGCGCACGTGCATGCGCGTGAGATCTTGTTTTTTTGACCATGTCATCTTGTCTATGCTTCTAATATATACTTTTAATATGAGTTTTAAAGCATATCATCAATAATTTAAATAGTTACGTCTGTATCAATTAAATTGGACATTTCTCGTGTTGCACGTGAATTCTTTGCATGCACATGCTTTCATGATATTTCTTTTATTACGGGCTGTAAATGTATGACTATATTCAAAATTTCAAATGATTTTATCAAAAAACAAGAAAGATATTGAGACTTTAGTTTCAGCCAATCAGAGCGAAGCGCACGTGCTTGCACGCGCGATCTTGCTATTTTGACCATGTCATCTTGTGCATACTACTCATATATCCTTACATTATGAGTTTCAAAACATTTCGTCTAAAAATAGAAAAGTTACGGTTATATCCATTATACATTGCTCATTTTAAGTTTTGCACGTGCGCGCTCTTGCAAGCACGTGCGCGCAAAATGACCTTGATTCCGCAAATCTACATAACATGCATACTTACCCTAAAAAGGTTTCCCCTTAATCGGATGTGTACTTTACAAGATCATTCGCGGACAAAATTTTCCCGAGAAGAAAAATAATAATAATAATAATAATAATAATAACTAGTGCTAATTGTAACGGGGACCGTTACAGATGTTCCCCAAACGCTCCCCAACTCCCTTTTATAGTCATATTCCCTGTAAGCGTAATTAAGTAAGACAAACTTTATGCATTTGAGACTTTAACAACGTTTACCCAGAAGTGTACCATGTTCATTCAAATTTTATCATTACACACTTGCGCATGTTAATGCATGTGCGTAATGACCATATCATATTCTCTACACAATCTATATATTTTAATATGCTAAATATTAAAGTACTAAATCCAAAAGTATAAAAAAAAACGCTCATTCAAGTGTATTTTTGATTTTACCCATTTCACGTGCACGCACGTGCATACATGAGCATGGTGACCATACCTTCTTGTAGAAGTCCATTACATCTATCTATGTTCTAAATCCCACCCTGTTTGGTTGAAAACCAAGAGGAGTTATAGCTGTTTAAAGTTTCAGCCAATCAGATTGCAGCGCACCTACACGCACGTGTATGTATGTGCATGGTGACCATACCTTCTTATAGAAGTCCATTACATATATATATCTTATTCAAATTACAACCTGTTTGGTTGAAAACCAAGGGAGTTATAGCTGTTTAAAGTTTCAGCCAATCAGATTGCAGCGTTTGTACACGCACGTGTATGCATGTGCATGGTGACCATATCTTCTTGTAGAAGTCCATTATATATATCTATGTTCCAAATCCCTTCCTGTTTGGTTGAAAACCAAGGGAGTTATAGCTATTTAAAATTTCAGCCAATCAGATTGCAGCATTTGTACACGCACGTGTATGCATGTGCATGGTGACCATATCTTCTTGTAGAAGTCCATTATATATATCTATGTTCCAAATCCCTTCCTGTTTGGTTGAAAACCAAGGGAGTTATAGCTATTTAAAATTTCAGCCAATCAGATTGCAGCATTTGTACACGCACGTGTATGCATGTGCATGGTGACCATATCTTCTTGTAGAAGTCCATAATATATATCTATGTTCCAAATCCCTTCCTGTTTGGTTGAAAACCAAGGGAGTTATAGCTATTTAAAATTTCAGCCAATCATATTGCAGCGCACGTGCATGCACGTGATTTCATGATAATTCCTATATATCGTTTTGTAGGATATCCTAATGCATGGCTATGTTCAGAATTTCAAAGGATTTCGTCAAAAAACAAGAAAGATATTGAGACTTAAGTTTCAGCCAATCAGAGCGTAGCGCACGTGCATGCGCGTGAGATCTTCCCATATTGACCACGTCATCTTGTTTATACTACTAATACATCCTTACATTATGAATTTCAAAACATTTCATCAAAAAATAGAAAAGTTACGGCACTATACATTATATTGGTTATTCACGTGTTGCACGTGCGCTCTCTTGCAAGCACGTGCGCGCAAAATGACCTTTGTTCCGCAAATCTACATAACATGTCTACTGACCCTAAAAACATTTCACCTTAGTTGGATGTGTAGTTTACGAGATCATTCGCGGACAAAAAAGTGCCCAGGAAGAAGAAAAATAATAATAATAAGAAACAGAGTAAAAACAATATGTTCCCCAACTTCGTTTGGGGAACATAACTAGTGACATAAGTGCACTATGACTGTTTTTCATTTCAATATTGTCTTTTTTTTTCTTCAGTAATTGTTATTTATTGTCTAATCTCTAATTAAGGTTGTTAGCAGTTGGAAAAAATATCAATCGACTTGACATTTCCTGCAATCCCAAACTGACCAATGAGGTGGTTACAGCCTTGTTGTCTGAGTCAACAAAACACAGCTCGCCTCTGGAGGTGTTAATCACTGAAGGATGTACCATCACGTCTCCGATCAACTCGGATTTCCTGGACGCGCTCGGGGAAAAGTTGGACAGTGCACGGCCTCTGACCTATCTGAGCATGAGCAGTGATTTGTTGGAGAAACTAGACATAGAGTGCCTGACGGAGGTGTGGACTCAGTACTGGCAGACAGGAGTGGGGGTTGTTAAGAACGTGTTAGATGTTATAGAGCTTTGTGTTGATGATAAATAGTGTATATAAAATGTTGGATATATGTAAAATGTTGGATATTTGTAAAATGTTGGATATAAGAAATCAAATTATTGAATATTTTTCACTCAAAGAGATGTTGTGTAAGTACTGCCCCACCTGTGTGCTTGACATTTAAAGTGCTTTTTTATTACTATAATTATTTTTATGTTATATTTATAGAAGCCTATAAACACAATCTACCTTTCCTTGAGATTGTATTTACATGTATAAAAGGTAGCCAGGAATAATCTTGCTGCAACATAACTCAGGATTGATATCTGATTAATTAAATACAATTATAGCTTTGTTTGCTCTATAAGAGTATGAATAAAATTCTAGTCATTAGTTTGCTGTGTATTTTTCCTTTACTATGTGCCACATAATTACATGTTTATGATTTTTAAGAATATGGGAAAACAATGCGAGAATTATATCCAGCCCTGAGACCTTGATATTAAATATACATTTGTATTTTTCAATTCTAAAAATTATAAACTTTTAGAATTGAGGAATATCAGTATCATCTTTTGCAAATTTTATTCCCTTATTTCATTGAACTATTTATGAATTATTTGCTATTTAAAAAATAGATCTTCATGCAGGATTCGAACGCGTACAAAAGCTAGAGGCGATGTGGAGTATTAAACACATTGGATTCCCAACATTTTAACCACAAAGCTTTCTTGATCTTTGATTGTGTAAATGATTTTGTATCAGGTATATCATTTATAAAATTAACAGACAGCATTTCAATGAAATTTTACTTCTAAAAACAAGTTAATTCAAAGTATCTGTTTCCCCCGCGAAAGGAAAAAAAAACGTGCGCAGATCTAAGGGGTAATAGTTTATTTCATGGCAAAAGCTTCTTGAGATATCGGCCGAAAACAAGATTTACTCACAAAGAATAACAATGTATGAATTTATGACATTGACCTTTGATGTTTTGACCTCAAAATAAATTGGGGTCATCCTTAGACTCTTAAGAAGTTTTGTATAAAGTTACACTGCAGAAAACTCGAAAAGGATATCGAGATATCGCGCTGAAATGCAAGTGTTAAAACAGAATTTTTTAATTCTTGACCTTTGACCTCAAAATCCCTTTGGCCATAGGGAGTTGCATTTTAAGGTCTGATGAATGTATCAATATTGAATGAAATTTTGAGGCGGATCTAAGAATTAGGAGAAAGAGTTTTGGCTAATTTAACTAAAAAAGAACATTTCTAAGTAATAGAACGATAAAAGTTTTTTCAAACTGGAGGAAAAATGACAAATTATAAAAAGAGGAACATTTTTTCGGTAATGGAAAAGTAGTTGAATTATTGCGTTTAAAATACAGTCTACAATGTGTATGTATGACGTGTGTGTCACAATTCTTCAATCAGTTGCCAGACGTATCGACCCCTGTCTTGCAGCATTTCAATAACTTCTGGTGCTGAGTTAAGATTTTTGGCGTTTTCAAGTTCGATATTATACAAATCTTCCTGAGTGAATTTCAAATATTCAGACCATCTTTGTATCATAAGTTTCAAAACATAGTCTAGTTTATCCTCAAACAAGCTTTGTTCTGTGACTGGTTGGTTGTCTTTATTTTCAGACGTGGAACTTCTTTCTGTATTTTCCGTACAGTCTTCCTTGTTGTGTTTGATCTTGTCGATGCCATATAAATCTACATCCAATGCTTGTGTCTGGCCTGATCCGTCTGGGATAGGTCGAAATGCAGTCATGTTCAAGACGTCTTGAAAATTGTTTTGGATAGAAGCAGCATTCAATATGCACGGTAACCCATCCGATTCAATGTGCATGCCTTTCTCGTCAGTTCCAAGCAGTTCCATCGCCCTTTGCACTCGCCTTTGTAAAAATTCGTCAGTTCCAGACAGTGCCATTCGTAAATTCTGTTTCCCCATGGCTGGAGGTACAGTCAACTCAACATGCAGTGGATTGGGATTGACAAATCGGATGGAGTATACCGTGTTACTCGGCTTTGGAAGAATCAAACGTTCGCTTTGCTGTTCTCTTTCTCTTACGATTGGTGCAACCTCTTGACCCAATTGTGATAAATATTGATGATCAAGTTGAAGATTCTTCAATACAGACGCTGACCCTTGGTTCTCGCATTTATTTGACGACCCTTGGTTCTCGCATTTCTTTGATGGCCCTTGGTTCTCGCATTTCTTCGGTGACCCTTCGTTCTCGAATTTCTTTGGCGAAAGCCCCTCTTCATTTTTCTTATGTAAAACCCATATCGTCTTTACAGGCATGGAATCAGAGGAGCTAGATGTTTTTGGTGTCATCACTTCTATTTGGATACTGGAACATGAAGACGTCTGCTCGGTTTGTTTTGAGAACTTTTTTTGTAAGAAATTTGCCAGCACAGTCGAAGTACTTGTATCTTTCGAATGTTTCGCACTTTGATCTTTTCCTGAAGCAACATTATCACTTGTGGATGTTTCTTCCATGTTTGCTTGTTTTGACGGCATGTTGATCATTGTGACGTTAACGCTCTGGCGGGAAAGTGAACGATTAACGTTACTACAGTGAAATTATAGCGAACGAGTTTGTAATGAATTTACAAATCGAAATGGTTCTAAATTCTCTTGAAATTGGCTGCTGTATACCGTAATAAGCAGTTTACAAAAAATCACTAAGAGACATACTAGTAATTAAATGTAAGATATATAATTCATTTCATCTTCATTATTTTAACACCGTTTTCGGCTAACTCCCATGCAGAGTTGTCGTTCGTTCCTCTCTGAGACATGAAGGCCTCCATATGTAAACCACTTGGTAATAAGCAATCTGGACCAAATATGAGCTTTTAGTGATTCTGTATTACTAATAATTGGCCCAGAATTTTTTAAAACACTTTTTCCAGTGACTTTGAACTTGCCAAAATGACCTTGGGTCAAGCCCATGACAGCACCACACCCTCGGATCATATCTTTATGCCAAGTATTGGCTTCATTAGTTTAATCATGCCGCTTTAAAATAGGGTGAATTCACCATGCATCGGATACCCTTGTACTTCAACAAGTTCTAGCGATATCGCTACCGGTGGAAAATTATCAAAATGGAGTTTAACATTTAGTTTGTGATTAAAATAACAATTTAGGACACAATTATATGCCATTTATTGAAAAAAATCGCCAAAAATCAAGTTTTTACAAAAAAAAAATTCACCATGGACGGACATTGTTCACCATGCATCGGACAGACGGTATAAAAAATATCATACCTTTATCATATATTTAAAATCCTTGATATGGATATATTTTCATCTTTTATCTCAGAAATAACCCTCAACTTTAATTTAATCGACGATATTATTGCACAAATGAAGAACGATTGTCGAGACCTCACTCTGCCTTAGAAATGCTTTAAAATGCTTATAATGCCGTAATTCGCGCCTTTTTCTCATGGTTTATCATACTCCGGTTTTTAGAAATAAGTAGAGTAAACTTCCAGACGTCATATATCGATAACTTGTATTTTTACTGAAAATATAGAGTTTTTATTTTCTTTTTCCGCAAAAAACAGCTGTCAGCTGAGTTCTGTATGAATTTGGTAGTGCTTACCTTTGCATCAAAAAGTGTCCGATGCATGGTTAATTTGTGTCCGATGTACGGTGAAAAAAGCATACAAGTAAAAACCAGCTCTAACAGGAATTATACAAACATTGAAGTGAAATTTAATTATAATTCATGTAAAATTACCACAAAATTCACCAAAGTCCGCTCGTTCAGTGGAAGTCGAATTCAAAAGAACGATAACTCTAAAAATTGCAAAATCACGAATTTCGGGTTATTCCCCTTTGATGATGTAAAATATGACGTAACTTCAAGGCCATTTGCGTGGTATTTTTATCACAACATGATAAACACAATCGGTATCATTAAAAAATTTAAATCTTCGTCTTTATGACAGAAACAAATAAATACACAGAACACTTAAGTTGAAAGAGAGTTTATTGCCTAAAGTTGTCCGAAGCAAGGTATGTGTCCGATGCATGGTGAACTCACCCTCTTGTTATTTGGCAGATTGTTATACTAGTAGATATAATTCTTAAATTGCAACTTTCTGCTAGAAATAAGAGAACTTATGAAAAAGGAAGTTTTTAAGCTTTTTGAAGCTTATTTTAGCAACATCATACAAACCGACTGAGATGCAAAAACATAACACATCGATGATTTTGTAAAGATATATAATTATAATGATTAAATTTCCTGAGAGCAATTGACAAATGCAACATTGCAAATAAATGATAATCGTATTACTACAATAAATAAATGATAATGCACATTTTTTTCATTGATGTATTGAAAAGTTATATACACAAACAATAACGATAGGATTATTATATACATGTATATTGCACCTTTTGACAATTATTTCCAAAGATATTCACAAAATAAATGAAGATATTAATTTTTAAAGTACAATACCCATCACATGCATTTATAATCTTAAAAATGTTTATTCAAAACATTTCCAAAGACGGCTTATTGCCGTGACAGTTTCGTCTGTAAATGCCTTCAAAGGAATAACAACTTATCGAATTACTCTACAAACTTCCAACAAATGCTTATGCAGATACCTTTTCTGAGCAAAAGATCGACCACATTTTTGACATGAAAAGTTCTTGCTCTTCACGGAATGAATCAGCATATGTGAACGTAGATTGCTCTTGTCGGCAAATGCTTTGTCACAATCCTCATGCGGACAAATAAACGGACGTTCCCCGGTATGCGTGCGCATATGTCCTTTAAGCAACCAAGAGCGCGTGAATACTTTTCCGCAGACGTCACATTTGTTCTTATGCTGGGCGGTGTGCGTTCGAAGATGAGTTGTATAGTTGGCTGAGACGTAAAATTCCTTTTCGCAAACCTCACATTTAAAAGGAGGTAAGTCTGTAAATGCAGGTTTGGCTTGAAAGATGACCCCTGATCGAATGGTAGTGATAGTGGGAGCGGTGAAGGTAGTTACGGTTGGTGATGGGTTTGTTGACATAATGGCGGCGGGCCCCGACAATCGGAGATCAGACAGCGCAGCAGTGACGGATTGTGTAGGAGACGGGTATTTCGAACACTTTTCAATTTCAGTCCGATTTTCTATGGAAGTCACTTGAAAATCACAGGTCGAATCCCGAATCCTCTCTTCGACGGGTTGTAGACCGGACAGAGCTTCTAATATGTTTCTGGATGAGTCCGATTTTGTTGTTGACCCTTTAATAGCCATGCATTGATAACGGAATTCCTTACTTTGTGCGATGATATTGTTACAGAAATCATCATCAGAACCAGATTCTAAACTATCTTCATCACTTTCAAAATCGAGCAGACGGTATTCGGATTTTCTCGAATGTCCAAAAGATATCTGCATTGGTTCCTCTTCCCTTGAATCTATTTCTTTAGAGTCGTTCCCACAGAGATCTAGATCAGGGACTCTAAACCCGAGGTAAAATCTTGTCACAAATGGAAGATGATGCATAGACTTCTGTTTTGGGGTACATGAGCTCTTGTAATTTTGTCTTTGTTTGATTTCGACTGTTTCTTGAGCGTACTTCGTTGATCCAGAAAACATATGCTTGACCGACACTTTTCTTATTGCCAAACCAGATCGTGTTGTCATGACATTTTGGTCAAACTCTGAAAGAAAATGGAACCAAAGTTAGACAACAGATGTTTATAAATGTAGCAATATATTTGATTAATACATGTAGATACCAGCTGAAAAGTGCCTCATTTCAAAACCACATTAATTAAAATATCTATTAGATGTTATTTAGTATGCTCTAAAAACAAAATATTCATAGGCAAGGGGCGGGCAGGATTTCACTAGGGGACGGGGGCTTTGTGAAACACTGATACTCCTGTATGGTAGCTAATTTATATTATAATGGCGATGCAAGTTAAATTCCAAGGTCAAAGGTCAAAATTTGGGTACACAATGAAGGGTCTTTTCAAAAGGAATATACATGTGAAATATGAAAGCCCTAGATGCAAGTCAAACTCCAAAGATCAAGGCCAAAAGGTCTTTTTTGGGGGAATATGAAAGCCCTAATGCTAACTGTTCAAAAGTTATGGCCAAGGTTAAATTTTTTAAAAAGTGGGTCAAATCTAACGTCAAGGTCAAAAGGTAAAAAGTATACCCGTTGAAAGGTCTTGTCACAATAAATACATATGTGAAGTATGAAAGCCCTGACTCCAACTGTTCAATGGCTACAACTAAGATCAAAGTGTCGTAATTTTCTATAAAAGTGAGTCAAACTCCCAAGGTCAAGGATTTAAATTTTGTGATAACCAAAGAAAGATCTTGTCACAAGGAATACATCAGTAAAATATGTATCAAAAATCAGTAAAGACCCACCCACTCAAAAGTTATGGTCAATGTTAAAGTTTTCGCGGACAAACCGAAAGAAGGACGGACAGGACAAAAACTTTATTTACCGAATCTTCGATTACGGTTATTACACGTGTAAACGGCGACGTTTCGAAAGTTTTTTACAGGTTGAAAACGTTTACACGAAGGTCATTATCAATGTCTATCAGAAATAAAGTTTAACACAAACAAATTGTTTTATTTCATAATTTACAAAAGAAACACCTTTGAGTATTGATAAGCAACAATCTAAACCTAAATGAATATATCTAAAACCCGATACGGGCTAACATACTTAATTCCCATTTCCGAGTTGCTAATACTAGCGATGTTTTACGACACTTGAAATATAAAACTTGATATATTTTAATTAAATAAATATAATGCATTTTTCACAAGTCTTTGAAAAGTTTCAATACAGTCAGCAGGTCTTGTTTTACTTTTTTCGAGATTAAAAGATCCATCTTTACAATTAGGCCTATTTTTTCTACGTCCGGTAGCCAAACAAACCAAGCAGTTGGGTGACGAGGTCGAAAGTGAATGAGTTTAATGCGCCTCAAATTCTTACGGTTAAATAACAATGACCAAAAATAAATTTGTAATAACAACTCATACTTATATCAAAGTGAAAGAATTGATTATTAAATTCGAGTTTCATGAGTAAGTAGCCATAAAAATAAAACATAAAATATCCCCCGTTTAAACGGTAGCTGCTATCCGTTTAAACGTTTACAAAATTCAGTAAACGTTTCACCCTTATTACGGGGGCATAAAAAGGGATCATATTGATTGGTTTAGCTGATGATTTGAAATGCTTCATAGGCCTATATATGTTTCATCAACACATATATAACTATATGAAAGTTGAAGTTCCCCCTCGAAAGTATTGAAACGAGAATTTATCCTTAATTCAATAGACTTCGCAATTTAAATATTCAGGGTACCTAAAACAGACCAATAAATTTATTTTGTTAGGTAGGCAGCACAATGAAGAAGACTGATTTCGTTAGCGCACGAATATATCTGATAAATAAAAGACAAATTATATTTTCATATTCTGAGACAATCCCTAGTCACCGCAGAGCACCTGCTAGTTAACCAAGTACGTCAAACAAGTTCACAAGCCGCGGTCATTTGAAATTAGCAACATTACTTATATGACAAGTAATAGGTCATTGTATATGACTTTTCTACTAACTTTTATTTTTAAAAGATAAGGTTTATAACAAAACTTATTCCAGCATCCGTACTTCGAAAACTCAGATTCAGAAACTGTTAAGTAATCTATCTTAGAAATTTGCAAACCTGAGTGCCTTGTGTATTTTCGAGATCTGTAGTTTCGAACTGAATGCATTAAACATTTCGGCATTTTGTCTCTTCTTTCCTACTTCTGTGAACACAGTTTGCACGAAGACCGTTATTTACGTTATTTACATGGCGTTCGTCTGCATCCTTGGAGACATGCCGCGTGCGATGACGTTAGTTGCCAGGGCACCTTGCTGTGCCTTTTAGGGGTTGTTTCAACGAACAAAAAGACCATGCAGTATTAGTGAGTTGTCGCGCTTTGAATCTTTAGCCAAAATCAAATCTGCGCATTCCTACTCATTTTCACTATCCAAAGCCTCTCTTATTCACGGAGAGGAGCGGATCGTTAAAGCAAAGATGTATTGAAATGTAACTAACTTGCCTTTTTCAAGAACTTATTTTTTATATTCCATTAAATTTTTAAACAGCGATATATTGCAATTCTATTATTAAATAATGACAATTACCACATCGAAACAGAAACATTGCACCTTCTTTATTATATAAAAAAATGAAGATGTAATAATCTTCAAATGAAAATAAAAGTAAATTTTACTTTACTAATAAAATTATCAATCGACACTAGCATCAAGTCATTCAGAAATATCAGGTCATAAAAAAATATCAGGTCTTTAGTAGGAAATCATCAGGTCATTTCAAAATCCTTTTTTTCATAAATTGCTGCGAACATTTTCTTCTCAAAACCTTTTAAAATGTTTAATTTTTCTAAAAGAATTATTTCATATATCAGGTCATTTAAAACCATCCCTTACAAGTCATTTATAAAAATATCAGGTCATTCCAAAATATCAGGTCATCAACCTTTTGTAAGTACTCCTTGATACAAAGTCAGTGTTATCCCCTAAAAAGTGTATTTTAGTATAATTTCATCAATAATTTTCAAACTTATATTTGAAATGTAATCTTTAAATTGATAACTTTATTTGATTTTTTTTTCATCAGGTCAAAATATCAGGTCTTTAGCATACCAGGTCTTTAGTACGTTCCATTCTAATTACTCGCAAAATACTAAAAAAAAATCTGGTCACTCTTCTTTGATGCCTTTTTTTTTTAATCATATCATGATAATTAAAACCAGCATTAATAAAAAGTCTAATCTTTGACTTTAAGAAAGAAACAAATTAAAACACGGAGACATTAAGCTTTAACGCATATTTGTTGATACAATTATTTTTGAGTAAGGCAAAAATCAAGAAGCAATCTTCACCTATTGTGTGATTACTTCTTCCGTAGAACAAGCAAGATGAATTTATTCATAAGGATATCGAAGCATCCCAAACATATGTTTGTTTATTCATATTGATATTGAGCTTAAACAAAATACCGAGTGTTGATTAAAGTATATAAGATTAATTATGTCATGACCTCTGGGGGCTTGGATGGGGTCACAATATTGGAAAGAATTTCTTTCAGGACAAAATAAAAAAATACCTTTGTTTCCCCTAACGCGACCGACCCAATTAAATCACGCCGACTGAAAAGATTTTTTAAAATAGGAAGATTAAATTTTTTTTATTGTCAACCAAGTTTTATAAAATACAATTTCATCAAAATCAATTTTTATCAGAACGGCCAGATATGATTACAGAGAAGTAGTTCTTCATAAAACAACGGCGGTGTCTCAATCTTTAGCTAACCAGAAATCTTCACTCTTGAAACAATTTGATAATAAAATATACCATTACTAATTAAGACTGTTTCGGAGGTGTCTTGGCGTCTCCATGTGAGTGAATAAATTTTCGAAAGGGACGGTAAACAACGAATAAACAAATTTGTCTTTGAATTTCAGGTACGTAATACATGGAAAGGCCATGCAGCCTCATGAGCAGATGAGGGGCCCACCTAGTGAACACATCATTCAATTTCACTGCATTTTATTTAATTTGAGTTTTGATCTAATAAACAGTTAATCTATGTTTCTATGTTTACTATATGCCATTATGGAATCCTTGGAGTTGTTGTAAATATGTCTGCATATTCATCCTAATAAATATAATTCAGTTGTACTTTTTCATGCTTTTATTTACGAGTTAAACTTCGTGACTATGACATTGTTTTATATAGCATTTTTTATCATTTGTTAGATTCAGTTTGGTTCATTTAAATATTGTTTAAATACTCTTTCCAAATAGTTTTGCAATCATAATTCAGCTTCCTGAGATTTGAACATTTCCCCATTGCTCCAAATTTAGACGTATACTACGCGCTTATTTGCCATTAAGCAGTGGGGATCTTTTTTGAGCCAGCATTATAAGCATCTTCTGCGACACTGGACATAAGTTTTTATGGTCCCTTTTGAAGGACCGTTTTCAACGTTCCTCATTTATTTGAACCTGCAACTTAAAATTAGCCACTCACGTCTTAACTCCAAAGCAAAATGCTCTAGAACCACTGCAAATCTCATGGAACTCAAAAAAGTACATTGACTTTCTATAAGCACTAGAGGGTGATTAAAGGTTTGAAAAAAACATACTTGGATGTCCAGTCTTTGCGTATTTGAGAATTTTGTCTTTTTTTTATTCGATTTATATAAATGTACTCTGGCGTGAGATATTTAACAAGTTCATCTAAATTACAGTTGTGAATTAATTAATCATAAATTTTGCTTTTAAACGGCATATGTATGATACTCAGCATTTTGTTCACAATTCACTTTCTTTTGTACTTTTCTTATTTATAAATGTAATTTTCCATTAAATTTTACAATGTATTTTCAAAGCTGCTGTCAGAAAATAAAATTGTTTACCTACCTACCGACCCAACTTAAGAATTTAGGGTCGGGTTAGGGGAAACAAAGATATTTTTAATTCCGGCTTCAAGTCAATGTTTTGTTTTTTTTTTACTATGAAAGACAACAGGGTTCCTAGCTGTGGCTCACGTGAGCATTAATGCCCAAGGGCCTCTCTTTCAAAAAAAAAAAAGTGTTACGATTTTTTTTACGAGTAAAATGTAACCCCATTTTCTTTAGTTTTTCACGAATTCCCGACGGCTCTTTAGTTTACTTACTCATATAAAATACTACTTTATTATTTCTTTACGCTTCTTTATTAAAAATATATTTGATTATAGTCGAATAAGCAAATTTTTACTAACCAACATATAACAGTACAAACTTCACATTATTTCTTTCAATACATATCGCCTGAAATGACTCAGCGTGAATAAATTGCAATATAAGTACCCATTTATTGTTGGTTTCAAATTACTGGTATTCCCAATTAACAATATTAAAATTCATTATGTTAAAAGTACGTCATAATTCTAACAATGTAATTGCTTTCAAAATATGACTTCATTTGCTTCTAGGTCATATCTATTTTATTATATGGTGCAAATGTTCAGCAACATTAAAACACTCAATCCAGCCATATTTCATTATTCATGAACGATCCTATACAAGTTATGTATCTATGTCACTATTGTTGAAGTCATCTTTGTTCAGTACATAGCTCGCGGTGTATTGACATAACAGAAATATGTCGTCAATGTGGAAATTATTTTGTAATTTTAGAAATGACGTTTTAATTCTATTTGTCGTGTAGGCTTGGGACAATGGAATAGCTGGAAGTACTAAACTATTTTTTTTCCAATGATTTATTGTCGATTCGACCTTGATGGTTCCGAGATGAATTTCACTTCTTGGAAAATACTGAAAAGCACTATTATTTGTAAAGTTAGGTCGAAAAATAATTTTTCTTTAAAAAGTAATTTCCATATGTTTTTAAATTCTGTTATTTCATGACAAATACTGATCTTGTCGAAGTTTTAACTTTCTCAAGAAAAGTGCGAAAACCATACAGTTGCCATATGCCTGTGCATGCATGAATTCATGTAAGATTCCAAGCCCGTGAGGTTACATCTTCGCTAGCCAAGGGTTTCGGATCCGAAATCTAGTAGATTTCTGATCGAAAACCCTTGGCTTGCGAAATCTAGTAGATTTCTGATCGAAAGCCCTTGGCTATATAGCGAAGATGGTGAGGTTCATGTGGGGACACACGTACATTTATTACCAACAACTTAAGACACTGTCTGCTCTTCTGAAAAGAATTGATCTCTGTTCGATCTTTAATATGTACTTTCTGTACCATTATCTATAGACAGAAAGAAGATAATATTAAAGAACGAGGGCGCTTTTGATTGACATTCGGCAGGAATCTGGGCGTAATTGAAAAGTGAAAATTTTATCGACATGTCACATGAAATTTTAACATTTTTTTTATTTATCGGGTTCCTGTGCAACAGAAAAGGAAAATATTTTCACGAAATTGAGCTTTGATTTGCTAAAAAATAACTTGAAAATTGGCCAGATCAGACATTTGATACAAAATGGTACATTTTTAAACACGTTTTTCTAAAATTTTTCTATCTCTGGGTCTTCTCTCCATAATTTTGAAACGTTATTTGTGTGTATTTTAATTCAAAGGAATGAATACACTTTTTTAAAAAATGGAGAGAAGACCCAGAGACCACGAAAAATGAACTTTTTCCCAAAAAATCCAAATGTGTGAATGTGGTGCTTCTTTGTCCTTTTAAAATCATTTGAGTATGTGTAGCGCCAGCGGTGATAGCTCAGTAAGTTGGGATACCTGTTCAGTACACTCAATTCGAAAAGTTTTTGGTTCGAGCCTGGCATGGGGCGTTAATTTTTTTTTCATGCAAACAATCATTTATTTTGTCCCTTTTCGTTTTTATGTACTGATGTATTAAAATTTTGAATTAGATAAATTTTAGTTAAGTTTGGTTCTCGAGCGAAATCAATTCTAATCTTCTGTTCAGTAATGTACATGTACAAGTATCATGCATCTATGCATTAAATATTTTAGGTGTTTATTTTTTGTGAAACATTACTATGTTTTAGAATCACCTAGGAAAAACGGACATAAATGTTACAATTTCACAAAGTCTTTCAAACTGAATGAAAAAAACCTATGGACGTGTCTGTAAAATCTGACCAGCTATGTTCAGCCAACCAAATCATGGACATTTAAACCATAAATGTTTCGTACAAATGATTCCTGCAGATCACTCGCCAAATGCGCCCATCTTCTTTGCATATAATATGCCTGATTTGACGCGTGGACAATACACTTTACGGCGTGTTCCCGTTTTGCACACATTTGATGATTTATAGGTATAGAACTTTGTAGATTGTACTAGGTCCAGATTTCAGTAGATTTATTTGTATTCGATGACCACCTACATCTTACACAGTGAGAGGGAAAAAAGAAGAAATAAAAAAGTGCTGAAAGTAGTTGACTACAGGGTTGTATACTTTGAATTCCTTATATTGATCATTTCTAATAAACTTCCCTGCCAATAGACATCAAGAATAAATTAAACTGTTTTTGAAAGCTTTCTTGAGGTTTGAAAATATTTTGATTTTTTAGACTATAAAAACTGGGTATTGAAATCTCTCGTCTTATATATATTTCTTCTTAGTCTTCTTATTTATAAAGAGTAGGAAGTGAGTGTTAACAAGATTTTTATAATTTGATATTTCTAAAACTGGCAGAGTCATAATACAATGTATATCTAATTCTTATACGTCTGTTTGGTTCATTAATGTATAAATTCTTACCTGGAGTAAATCTTTTTGCCAATACTTATTGGTAAAAGTTTGTGTGTGTGTGTTTTTTTTTTTTTTTGTAAATAAGTAAAAAGATTACCCAATTTACAAAAGATTGATGGGTTCGGATTTTTTGGGTTTTTTTTTTCTTTTAACTATGTTTACTTTATTTATTTTTATTTTATTTAGATTTGTAATGTATGTGTAGAAGGTTTAAATTATTTAATTTTATCCATTGTTGACAAACAGTGCCAAGGTTTTATATTCCTTTTATTCCTTCCTCTTTGTAAATTAATTCACAAAATTTTGCAAAAGAATTATTTTTGTAAAACGTGAAGCTGAGCTTAAAGCTTAATAGTAAAAGAATGATTACATGTAGGTGTACCTATTTCTATCCACAATGCTGCCTATCATTTCCGAAAGTATGACTTCTAATTTGCAAATAAAGAACAACAAACAAACAACAACCATATTGTCCCTTCAATATATGAAGAGTAAGATCAACGATTTTATTTACATAAAACGTTTAGACGACCCTGATTACTCTAGTTTTTAGAACTGTACACCCCGAAAATCAATAGGTAGAATTTTGTTTGTCAAATATTCTACAATTGCTGAAATCCTATTATGTCAATAAGTCAATAAAAATTCCACCTGTCGCTCTACTGGGTGATTTCAATGCTATTCAGCATCCAGACGCACACGGCTGATGGAAAAACCGCGAGAAGTATCGAAATGGCTACAGCAGCTGATTGTAAAATATATTGATTTCATATATACACAACCCAACAGAATACTGCGCTACAAAGTATTAATTATTCATTTGTCGTGAAGCTGCTAAACTATATACAATTTTATTCCATATAGTGTGATATTTTGCGCTATCCTTTTTCACATCTGATACGCAAGAGGTATGTTTCGGAGCGAGGAGTAAAACTTGCTTCTTTCAGTGAGAGAAAAAAAAATTATAAACGTCGGGCGCTTCCGTTGGAAATATATAGGTAAATATCCATCATATCGAGTGTCTTGTTTATAATAAGAAAACTCATCTACACATGTGTTCTCAGTCGTCCGTCTTGTGTTTTCACATTGCCCGGCGATGAGGGAAACTCGAGTCAAACCTGTTCGCCCAATAACACATGGGCGACCTTATTAGGCAAATCGTTTCTCCGATCTTCAGAAGAGCAAGCGAATGCAATGGCCGACATCTTTCGCATAATTTATTCGCCCTACCGAAGCTGTTTTCGACTCGGCTCGCAGTGTCTTTTCCCCCGATTTGATTATGATTAAGACCGTAAGACACTTTCGAACACAAATTATCATTGCTTTTAAGATGGCGCGTGGAAGATAGCGACCACCACTGCCGGAATAAGTGATGTAGATTGGGGAAAAGTGACCAAAGTGCTACCGAAATTAACTCTATTACCGATAACGGCCATGCTTTAAGAAGGATCATTCAAGTACATGCGATCGTAGAAGATAGCTGTTGTGTATTATCGTCTCACAATATATTCTCCATGTGTAGTTAAGTGCGCTAATTTTGTAAACCGGAAAATTCATTGGATTTTTTAAATTATGAATAATGATGCTGATTGCGGATTGAAATAACTGTGTGAATATTTTCTTATTTACGATTTTACAATTGACGGATTAACTTTCTGAATAAAAAATAAAATAAATGTGAAATTGGATATTACTAAGGTCACGTGAGTATGTATGAATGATATAGGGGTACTTAGCTGGCTCTTTCGAAGATGTCGATAACTTTGGTCTGTTCGAGTGTAGGGTTATATTGGAGTTAGTGGTCCTACGACACATGTTCCGTAGGTCCAAATGACAACTGGCGGAGGGCGTTTCGATTTTGAGGATGGAGGGACATACTGCGGGGGCTGGGAGGAAGGGAAGGCACACGGTCACGGAGTTTGCACAGGTCCCAAGGGGCAAGGGGAGTATTCTGGCGCGTGGCAGTTTGGTTTCGAAATTTCTGGTGTTTACACATGGCCAAGTGGAAATAATTATAAAGGGCAATGGTTTCAAGGAAAACGTCATGGACTCGGTGTAGAGACCAAAGGGCGGTGGATTTATAAAGGAGAGTGGACCCAAGGGTTCAAAGGTCGCTATGGTGTCCGACAAAGTCTGACTTCCGGTGCTCGATATGAGGGTACATGGACCACGGGGCTCCAAGATGGTTACGGGTGCGAAACCTACGCAGATGGAGGTAATTTTCTTTTAAAATCACCCTTTCTTTCACCTCAATGTGTGTGCTTTTGTGTTTCACACCAGATGTATAATATATCTGACGCCATGTTGAAAAATAGCAGCATGGCTGCTGATCCTCACTGCAAAATATGACCGGTCATTCCCGACGTGATCTACTCCCTACAGATTTATGGTTGTTTGCACTGCACTCGAGTAGTATTTCCCCCGAATCCTTCTACTTTCTTAATGGTTTACAAGGCATTATACTTTTTCTATACATGATCTCATTTTGTGCTTGGTTTATCGAAGTGAGGAGACCGATCTAGCATGTTCCAGTGGATTCCAGTCGTAACCTTTATGTCCTTAGCTCTTGTGGTACCACCCGTTGACACATCATCACCATTATCATCATTTCATCACCATCATTATCTTCATCATCATCGACTCAAAAGTTTTAATTATGAGAGTCAGGCATTTCATATGCCAGATAAAAGGATATCGTTATAAACATCCAATTCAGATATTAATCTCATTCTGAATCCATCATAATCTTCATAACGCAAAAGAAAAATAAGAAATTAAGAAGAAAACCAATGCCAACATCAGATAAAGTAGCTCAATTATAGCTTCGCTACATATGTAACATTATTAATGAGTGATGACTTAAAATAACGAGACAAAATAATTATTAACGATGACTTCACCGTTTTCAAATTATGTATTAAAAATGCCTACATATATGTTTTTTCTCTGTCATGATGTGAGATTGTCTATATTACCAACGATTTTTGCTGACTATTGCTGCAGAAAAAAGTCTGGTATTTCTTTACTTCTGGTTACCATGACAACAAAACTTGGCAGGTGAGGCAAGATGATGAGAGCAATGTGGAGATATGATATCGACACAGGATATCGGGGTTTAGGCTCGAAAACTTAAGATTAACTCATCTCTCTACCCTTCCCGGTCTCTTAAAACCAAATAATTAGTTTTGTCAATATATTTACATTTTAAAACTTTAATAGGTTTCGTAATACAGTCTGCTGAAAAGATTACATATATATTATTGACCTTCGGGTTAATTGTGATTTCTAGATCTTCTCCACTGTAAAAAAAAAACACACCGGCAGATGTTTGGGCATTTAAAATGTAGATAAAAACCAGATCAACCGTCAAAAGGACGGATATATGCCATGGTAATAAAATCAAATTGAACAGAAACGATATAAAAATTGAATATTTTTTTCTCTCATTAACAGCCGTGTTCAAATATCCATATAATACCGATAATGATTAAATCAGTTAATACAAATTCTTTTTAAAATGGCCATTTTCGCCTCTAAATATGCCAGGATTACATAGAGATTACTTTCATCAGCCGAATGCGGCTTCGCGAGAATCGTCAATGTTATTTAACCTCAGTAACATCTGTTAAGAATTAAGCAGGACCCTCGTTCCTGAAGATGATTACTAATTGTTAAGATCGATAGGCGAGATCAACTTGATATTGCAAAGAAAAACACCGGGCTTTGTATTGGAAAATACCCTTGGCCGTCGTAGACGCAAGAGAAAAATGGTAACTATTTAGTAAACAGAACAATGTTATTGACTTCATTAGAGGAAATGACTTTTGGCGACAATGTACATCAGTCATGTAGAATTCTACTGTTTAGTCCAGTGATCCCTCGATCGATCTTTAGATCAAGCAAAGCTAGCATTATGATGAAACAGTGTCATTTCCCATACAGAGAAACCAGTCGGAAAAATCACGGGCAAGAAGATGCATGTTTAGGTCACACGCAATTTAATTCCTTTCATATTTCGGTTTCAACAGTTCAAGACTCATTGGTTTAAAAAAAAAACAGAACAATTTACAAGTGTTTTCAAGCAAGGAAATACAACAAAAATACTTCCATAGATTTACATGTGGAGTCAAGTTCCAACTAAATGTACTTACATATTATGTTTTATAGCGTATATTTTGACGCCCGTAGCTCGGTTTTTCTTAAAATGGCAAACTTCCTGGAAACAAATAAATCTATATGACCTAGGGCTTTTGGGGATTTAACAGTGTAGAATACTCTATGGCTGCATTTTTTTGTTTTTAATAGGCATATTAATTATTGCCAAAGGACGTTTATTCTCAATCGTATCAATAGTTCTATGTTTTCGCTGGATTTGACATTTTCTTCAGTGTTCTTAGAAAATCAGTATTGGAACACATATTTATGACATTGAATTGAAAGAATGGAAATAAAACAAGAGGACAAGAAGAGTAAATATTTAAAAAAAAAAAAAAAGAAGTATATTTTAACAACAAGGATGATGACATTTTCGATATTTTGTCATTTGTGACACCTCTGTCGATCTAGAAATAACAAATGTTGTGAATTGAAATCTCTTCGAATGAATCCCTTCATTTTTATTTGTTAAAACCTTTAAAAACATTTCAACCTTTAAGAACATTTTATAAAAAGTAGATGATTAAAATCAGTTAATGCCAATGGTACATCGGAATACATTTTTTTTATAGCAGCTCCTAAATCTGATTGAAAGGAAACAAAAGTGACAATTGAACGACTTTTTGGACTGATTCATATATTCGCTGACAGGTATAGACATACTTAAATCAGTGTATTAAAAGAACACAATTATTTTAGTACATCAGAAATTTTATGTCATGCAATACTATAGAATACAAAACATACCATGGCAGTTTATCAGACATACAATACCAATAGATCAGGCATACTATATACCACAACAAACTAGAACTGTGTTCCAGTCATATTTCTAATGTTCCAAAATATCAGTTTACCAAACATTAACCAATGTATAACATATTATATCAACATATACCATATCATGTCATACTCTTTCATATACCAGACATATTCTATCAGTTTTCCAGACTGATAAACGAAAGAACTTTTAAAAAGTGGTAAAATAGTAAAACATATATTTGTGGGCGGATTTACTTTTTGCGACATTATGTTATATTAGTGTTTACAATACATTGAACTCGAGCTACACTTGTCAAAATTTCTGCACGAAAAATGAAGATCACGAACAGAAATCAAATGTCCATTGAAATGACATATCTAGGAGCAGAGCAAACACGGACCTCTTTAAAACACAGAGATGGGATCGGTTGTAACGGTGGAATATAAGCACTCCCTGTCGAGTATGTAAATAATGGCCTGGCAATTTGTATAAAAAAGATCGGATGTGACCGTTCGACAGGGGTGCTTACTCCTCCATGACTCCTGATCCCGCCTTTGATGTGTCTGAAGGTCCGTGTTTGTAATATGCGCCCGATTTGTATTTAAACGAACTTTGAACTTGAATACTGTTCATTATCCTTTTCATTTCAACATTCGATAACGATGGAACGTATTTTTCTACCCAATTTGCTGTATCATGTCATAAAAACTTTCATATTTTCATGAGCTGGTCGAGTTTGCTGTTCTTGCGCTCTATATGTTTTCTGAACAAAATGTTCTTTAAAATTTATAAAAAAGGGGGACAAGAGATTTTTGATATTAAACTGCATAGTTCTAAGAGAGGGTCAAATATGGGGTTTTAGCCTATCTATTCCTGTTAAAAAATGCAACTCTTTTGCCATACCCCTCTACTCCTTTGTATCGTATTTCATACATTCGTTTGAGTTCCATACTCTATATATCGACCCTGTTTAAAAACATATTTAATGAATACCAGACTAATTTATTTCATTATCTTAAGTTTTCTTTGATCTTGCTGCACACTTTTGCATTTTTTTCAAATGATTGTTTCATGAACAAAAGACAAGCTGCTTTAATTTGAAACCGTCTCTGGAATGTCTTACAAAAACAAGATCAAACCCATACTTCCGGCAAAAGTTGCTGAGTTCGTCAATATTTACTGTTTTACCCAGATGAAGAATGCAGCTTTTTTTTCGGCAAGAGTGCAAATTCTCGATAAATCAATGAGACTTATGCAAAGAAAACTAGAGCTTAATTGTATAAAGTTTGATCCATATTTAGCCTTCCGCCATATACATATAGAAAATGCCCTACGGGGTTAAACAGAATATCAATTTTTTGTTGCATAAATGCATTGTCAGAGCAAAAATGAACACATCACTACGAAAATATCAGGAAGCGGTCGTCCATAAATTTGATTCAATTGAATACAAGTATTTTCAAGAGATATAATTTATGTCAATACTAAAGTGACATTTTTAGTGGCTTAGCTTTTGTTTTCAAGACAATGAGTTTAATCTATGGACGTTTTCCACGGTATCTACACCAGGCAGTTTATATATGGATTTTTTTACTCAGTATAGCAGCTTTGTTATGACCTTGTAGCGATCAGAGTTTTTTTCCCGTAACAGACTTGAGTATTTGAAAATCGATCCGTACTATAAACCATCGATCTCAATGCAGGGGAATTGTCTAAAACACGCAGTAAATCAGATAATTGCTGATGTTTACCATGTGTGCATATATCGATTTCAGCACTAACAAACACACTACCTAGAAAAATCCTATGATCTTCTTTGGATGGAGGTAAGGGGGTGGGGGGGGGGGGGGGGGGGGGGGGTTGGAGGGTTAGTAGTAAGAGCGTATACCAAGAGGCCCTCTGAGTTAACATACCAGTTTAAACCATTAATATTTTTAATTAACAGATATAAGGAAAAACAGCAAATTGAAAATCAGATGAAACGAACATATAAAGCTTGTAATAAAGATATTAACTTAAGAATAAATGAAGTCCAGCAAGAAAGGACGATCCAAAATTCAGTTTTATTTAATATTTTCTGGAAAACACCAAGACAATCTTGCCATTTTGAAGAATATAATATTTTTTTTGGAAAATTATCTAATTGCTATTTTCAAAGAATGAAATTCATTATGCTTTTTATAAACATCATTTTGCAGTTTTTAGGTCCTTTCTTTGCAAAAGCAGGGGATAAACGGTGTTCTTTAGCCAATTTGTCTGTTATTCTTTGGTTTTGAATCAATGCCTCCTCACAAAGA